GGTGGAACGTCATCAGATTCAAGTGGATCTGGAAAAGGTTTGCAAGCTTCTATCATCGGATTCATCATCTCCGTCGCACCGGTCACGGGATCAAATCAATCGACAGTACACCCAAAGTATAAACTACGAATTCGAAAGATTAAATTTCACCCAAATACGGATAATAATCGAACCTTGTCGAATCGCTTAGCTTCGAAGGTCTTCAGGCACGACGATTTGTATTCCGACAAAGACTCCTTTTCTACCGCCGCGATCTTCGTCAGTGCCTCGGCGGAGGCCTTTCTGGCGGCCCAATCTTCACTGCTCAGGAAATCCGTCAAGCACACGATCGAATTTTTAATCGAATTCTTCCCGCCGCTGCTCAAAACCCCCTTCACACCGACGACGCTTCCGATCAGAGCCAGCAGCGCCGGCTTCGCCTTGAAGCTGTCGCATTTCGACAGCTTTTCGAGCTTCGGCAGCATTTTTCTCAGGCTGCCGACGTCCGGATTCGCCGATCCGTCGATTATCGCCGCCAGGCACGAAGCGGCGCCGTTTTGCGTGTTGGAATCCTGCTCGATGAAGAGAGATTCGAGGAAGGGTTTGGTGATGGAGGTGAATTGAGGGGAGGTGAGCTGCGAGGAGAGGGAGAGGGAGGCGGCGACGCAGGCGGAGCGGACGGAGGAGTCCGGGTCGCGGAGGCGGCGGACGACGGCGGAGAGGACCTTGGAGAGGTGTGGGGAGAGCGCATTTTTGTGGTGCTCGGAGAGAACGGAGATGAGACGGACACACTGTCGCCGGACGGGTGATTTGTCGGAGGAGTCGGTGGCGGAGATGGACGAGAGGAACGAAGGTAGTGCGTCGGCCGACAAAGTTTTAGCTATGGATTCGAGCTCCGACGCGGCGGCGGTGTGGGTGTCCCTATCGGAGAGCTTGTGGAGGCACGTGAGCACCCGGTGCTTCAGGTCACGTGCCTGAGCCTGCTTAGTGGAGTTGGACGCCGACATTTTTTTGTTTTCGAGATTGCAAATCAACGCAACACCGCGTGGATAGACTAACTGCTGGATTGAAGAGGTGGCGCTGCCGCGATCTCCGCCAGCATTGCGGTGGTTCGGCGGTGGTGGGGAAGTGGGTTTGTCAGAGAAGCTTTGAGTATCTTTATATACAGAAATTGCGATAGGGATACTTTGGTAAAAAAGTAAATCGACGAGATCGTATTTGGATATGGTTGCAATACGGCGTCGTATTGTGGTTTATTTCTACTTAATACTTTTCTAGTTTCACTTATTTCTTTATTTTTTCATTCTTTAATTTTTACATTTAGGCCTCGGTTGCTTACCTATATTGAATTAGAGCGAATTAAATTACATTTGATTAATTTTCTACTGGTTAACTAACTAATTAGTTGATAATATGTTTCGTTCTTTAGATTACATTTTGAATCAAATTCGTTAGATTATGTTATTATATGTAAATTGTCTATAAAGTCTTTTATTTAACAAAATTAAATTATTGTTTTAAGAATAAAATTATAATTTTCTTTTTTTAGTCACCCCTATAAAATTAATCGCAGAGGAATGGATGTTACTAATTTCATGAAATAGTAGCACTTAATTGCGGGCTTCAACTTAAGTAGCGGACTTGAGTAATGTCGAATCCTATCAACCAAACATTTTACTAACTCGTACTATCTAGCCAATTTAACCTAATAGTAACAAACAAACGAGGAATTAGAATCATTTTGTGGAAAAAATTCAACCCGTAATGTTTGATTTGCGAGATGTAAATATTATGTTATCGTGATTTATTTTACTTTATCTTTTCTTTTAAGAATTTGTTTTTATTGGACATCTCGAAATCCGATAAAATAATATGATTTTCATCAGATTATTTAATTTTATCTTAGCAACTATTATTCTGGTCCGTTACTGGTTCACGTGGATCTAATTATGGGATATTTTTGTTTTACTCGATAATGGGGAATTAATTAAGAAATTAGAATTAGCTGGACATTCTTAGTGGCAAAGTTTTGTTTAATCATATATTAATGCACAGTACATCATGTAATTATTGTAATAACCCACACTTGTGGTGAGTACTGAATACTCAATTTGGTGTACGTATAAACGGATGATTGACAATACACGTGTACGGTGAGATCACGTGAAATGACGAAATACGACGAAATTCACCGTATTATACATATAGGTTGAAAATAAACTGTCAAAACTTTTGGTTTTGATTCGATAATTATCGAAATACCAAGACAACAAAAATTAAGATTATTGTCAAAAAAAAAAAAAAAAAAAAAAAAAAAACCTTTCTTCTAAAACTAAATACAACATATATAAATCAACAAAAATGAATTTTGCTTATTCGGTATTACCAATCATGTTAAATTAGATTTTAAGACGGTCACAAGTTATAAATGAATTAATAAATGATTTTAATTAGTTATAAATGGGGCGGTTAAAGTCGTTAAATAATAGGCTGATAGGTAATATAATGACAATTTATTAATATTAATAATAGCAATAGTAGTTATGTTTTTTTATTTCCTTGTATTAATTGCCTCTCTATGATTATGTCGTTAATTGGTTACGATAATGCGCAATTTGAATATTGGTTCGAATGAAAATAGTTGCGATTTGGGTGGACAAGCAAAAAAATTCGATGATAAATGTATTGCTTGGTTCTTTTCTTGCTGTAATCAACGTCTAGATCCAGTTACAGCAGAGGCAATGGAACAGTCAACACCCATGGAGTTCGCTCGCAACCGACGATATGCATCGAGTTGTTTTAGAAGTCGATTTCAGCACTATCCAAAGTGAAGGTAGAGGCGTAAATGAGTCGAGCTTGCCAAATTTTTCGAGTTCGAGTTTGAGCTCGAGTCAAATTTGGTGGGCTCGAGCTCACCGAGCTTCCATTTGATGAGATCGAACCGAGCTCGAGCTCAGCTCATTTTTTTTTTGTTTACATGATATTAATATTAATTTTAATTATAAATTATTTATAAGAAAAATTAAAAGTTATAGAATAAACATAAATCTGTAATTCTTTAAATATATCTAAAAGCTCGCGAGCCGGCTCATGAAGAACAACTAGAGATGAGTTCCAGCTCGAGTTTTTTTGAGCCACCTCATGAGCCGACTCAACTCATTTACACCCCTAGGTGAAGGACAATACGTATTTTTTCTTCTTTGGTCACATCATCGACGATACCAAAAAACTCTCATCCGTGTCTGAAGACTTCAAAGTTTGCCACGTCAAAAGGAAAGATAACCGTGCTGCCCACGAAATCGCAAAATTGTCCCTTAGTTCGACTTTTACGCCTAATGTGCTCCCACACTCCATATAGTCGATAAACTTGTAAGCAAGTTAAATAGTGGATAAACTTGTATTGCATAATAATAATTGTTTCAGTATCTTCAAAACTCTACCAATTAATATATATATATATCAATTAGTAAAAGTTTTCTTTCAAAAAAAAAAAAAAATTAGTAAAAGTTTTGACAATTGTAAATATAGACTTATAGTTAATTACAATAATGCATAGAAAAAACCAATAAAAACTATAAGTCCACATACTTAACTACAAGTTCTTCCTTCATAAAAAAAGATATGAGTGAAGTTTTCATTTTTTTTTCTTTTTTTTTTGGTGTGAATAATACTTTGAAGTAACAAATATATAGTTGGGATATATAAACCAATAAGATGAACCATCTCACTCCATATCTCATCTATCTCAACCTCTTTTACCAATTTTCACTCATTGTATTGTATGCCCCAATATATTTTGGAGATAATTTGTCCCTCAAATTTAATACATACTCCTAAAATTCAGAACACACATCCCAAAATATTTTATTATTTTTAAATGTGTATATCCTCTGAATTTATTATGGCGAAATTAAAAAAAAAAAATAGTATGCACCACAACAAAAAAAAAAAAAAAAAAGGAAAAAAAAAATTAATAAAAAGAAAAACCTATTTCAAGTATAGGATGGGGGAAGGCACATATTTGAGGTAGTTGGTTAGTTAGGTTGGAGGATCTAAATTTGGTTGGCGATTCACTAGAGGTGAAAATCGAATGCAATTAGAAAATCTCAATTTATTTTAGAAGTATAAAACTAATTTCAATTTGACTTTAAATTTTTTTTTTGGGACAAATTGGAAATTTGAATGAAAAAACTTGTTTCAATAAACTAGATTTTTTCAGATCAAAATTGGAAAAATCATGCTATTTTTTTCCATCCACTACAAGATAAAATACATGATAGTATTGATACTGTAAGTTTTATTTTATGTAAAAATAAATGTATTTGTTGCGGAAATTAAAATCAAATTGAAAAACAAAATGTCATATATTCCAATTTTTGGATCCAAATTAATAAATTCAGATTAAAAAAAAAAACTGATATTCACCTCCCTACAGTGATAATTATTTATGTCCAAGAAAACAAAGTCACTAAACGTGTCCCATGCATGAATATATGGAAATGGTCAATGGTATACATGATCTAACATTTTGGTACTTGGTACATAGACATAATTCATCAAATAATTATATTTAGGGTAAATTACACCTACACCCCTGAGTTATGCTAAAATAACTTTAAGGTCCCTATGGTATTTCTAATTACAGACACACCTCTGAAAAACAATTACCGGAGCTAAGATTTCATGTCTTGAGGACTGATATACTCTATATTTGTTTATGGGGCCATTAATACTAACATAGATGCAGATTTATGAATTTTATATAAAATAATAAGAATTTAAGAAATGTTAGGAGATCAATGTCGTCTCTGTAACTTTATGTTGTCTCTACCATAGCCTGAAACTAATAGTTCGTTAGAACCCTAACGGAATAACTTATCCAATGAATTATTCTGTTATGGTTTCTAACAATGTTTCAAGGGGGTGATTGCAATTACTGATACTACAGGGACCTTAAAATTAATTTAACATATCTCAGGGGTGTATGTATAATTTACCCGAATATTTAGTATACGTGTCCACTTGTTATAATATATAGTCTCAATGTCTCATATCCAATGATATATATATATATATATATATATATATATATATATATATATATATATATATATATATATATATATATATATATATATATATATATATATATATTTACACGTCCGTCATTACAATGTCAAATTTAGTGGAATCTTCTAGGTTATGTGGAATATTCTCAAATTTATACCCGTTATACCTCATTCGAGCTCTATATTTTGAAATAAGATGATCATTGGCTTGTTAATATCAGATTGTCGTGCATCATGAACTGCATTGTTGCATAAAACGGGTACAAACCAGAGAACATTCCACATAATATAATCTAGAAGTTCATGTTTAATTTGACAACATAAGGGTGGACTTCTAAGAAGATTCATAGTCGAAGGGTGATTGTAATTATCCAAATAGAAGGGGTGTTTTTGTAATTTGACATTAGCTCAGGGAGTAACCGTAATTTACCCTAATAAATCAAGTTAAAAAAAAAAAACTAACTATCAATGCTCTTTTTTATTTCACAAAATTTATTGATCGCAAATAATATCAGACAGGTGGCTGATACCTCATTATCACTGAACAGTGAAACAATGACTCCAGCTACCGTTTTCACTAAATTGATTTTTTTTTTAATCAGCAATAATAAATTGTATTTGTTGAATTTATCATTTTGCTAAGTATCAATGCACTCACACACATTATATGATTATATATATATAAAATATGATGATTAGATATTGTCCTTGTACCAAATAAATATTTAATGGTTAACTAATTAATTAATTATTTATTTATTTATAAATTTTGTGCCTAGGGCTTGACGGCCATGTTCAAGAACCGACAGTTCCTTTAATTTTCTTTTACTTTTCTTTTAATTCTGGGATTTTATTTATTTATTTATTTATTTATTATTATTATTATTATTTTTATGTATTGGTGATTAATTGAAAGGATGAATCACATGTTCACTGAGTCAATAACTTAACTCGGTTAACCAATTCGTTGATCACGGGTGGGTTACGACTCACGATCGAGTTACTCAAATATTCTATAAAATACGGTCTATGTTACGTTTAGGGGTGGAAATCGGATGGAGTGGAACGGAAATGACTTTTTCGAAAAATTTCCAAATTTTTTCGAAAGTAAAAAATGGGTTCCAATTATCATTAAAAAAAATGGAATGCGAAAATTCATTCCGATTTTAGAATATCTCGGAATCCATGGAATTTTGAAAATTACATTTTTCTATATTTTTTGAATTTTTGCAGGAAAATGCAAGAAAATCTAAAAGAGAGTTCGACAAAATGCAATAAATAAAAACAAATGTAGGAACAACAAATTGAAACATAGATTTTCTTATAAGGAAAAAAATGCAACATAAAATTTATAATACCAATTAATCTTTTCTGAGGTTTTAATTTATTACTTGACCCTTCGGTATTTATATTTTTCATATAAAACATAACATAAGTTATCTGTTATATTGTGGAATTACAAAATATATCATAAAATTATACTACATATTTTGGAAAGACACATAGAAATATTTGGAATTTAAACCGGAATCGAAAATCGGAATTTTCGGTAATTTTACATGTTATTCCAATTTCGTTCCAAATAAATTTGGAAGAACCGAAATTCAGAATGAAAAATACAATTCCAAATTCGGATTTTTTCGAATCGGAATTGGCAGAATTCAGAAATTTGATTCCGATTTTCACCCCTAGTTATGTTGCATTCTTTCAAATTTATTTTATTTTTATCTATCTAAATGTTTTTGGTGTTATTATAGACAATGACATAAATTTGGCAAAGAAATAGGACACCGCCACCTGCTCAGCAAATCTATTACCTTAGATATAATATTTATTTAAATTGGACTGAAAATAATGGAACACCACACACGAAAGGGACAATTTACAAGAAAAAAACAAATATAATTACAATTTAGGCAACCGATACTAGATTTACTATATGAATCATTATTCATTACACAATATCACTTAATTATTAAGTAATTTAATTAGTTGTAATTTTGTCATATTAAATGAGTTTTTTTTAAAAAGAAAATCAAATTATTTTTCCAAAATAGAAAATAAGTTCCAATTTCAGATCCAAAAGAAATCGGAATACAAAGATTTCATTCCGATGTAATGGGATTTTTCACGATAAATCCAAAATAGAGTTCGACAAAAAGTAATAAACAAAACCACATGTAGGAACAACAGATTAAAATATAGATTTTCTTATTAGGAAAAATGCAACAGAGTTTCTTATACCAAGTTAATTTTTTCTAAGATTTTCGTATAAAATACAACATAAGTTATATTTTGGAATTACAAATATATCATAAAATTATATTATATATTTGAAAAAACAATCGAAATGTTCGAAACTAAAATCGGATCGAAAATCGGAATTTCTGATAATTTCATATACAATTCCGATTCCATTTCAAATAAATTCCAAAAAATCGAAAATCGGAATGGGAAATACAGTTGCAAATTCGGATATTTTCAATTGGAATTGACGGAATTCGAAAATTCCATTCCGTTCTACCCACGGTCATACGTAAAGTGCGTCATAGGTGATATTTAAAGTGCGCGTGTTGTAACGATCATTTATAAGATTGACTTGTTCGTGTAATTCGAACATACCCATTATCCCTTTTAGTATTTGCAACAAAACGAATATAAATAATTAATTTTATTTTAATACATCGACGCTAATAACGTGTTTGGATTTTGTTCGAGTTCGAATTAGTTTAATGTTTTTAAAATATTTTCCTTATCATTTATGTTTTAATGAACTCGATATTAGACTATACTAATTCGTTTCGCTAATAAATTGAATTCAACAAAATTCTAAATTGCAAGAATTTGGATCGACGACTGAATACGAGAAGGAAATCAATAACTTCAAACAAATAATTTGCAAACCGAAACCTAACAATTTAAAGTTGATTATAAAATAAAATTTGAACAAATTCAATAAATTTGCTTATATGAATATGAACTCTCGAGCTCAAGTCCTTCTCGTTATATATATTATATATAGGCGCCACCTCATTCCAATAGGCGTTTGTGTTTACACCACGCAATGGCGGACACATACAAGAAAATGCAGCCGGCGGTACCTCCAGCGACCGTCCAGAGAAAATCGGGCATCCCAGCTTTGTTGGGGTCGAACAATTCGATTGTGATGTTCATACCGAAAACTCCGGTTAAGGCAATAAAAGCACTCAGCACAACCGTTGCTGTAGTTAGCATAACTCCCATTTGGAGGAGATGGTTCTGTTTATCGTCCAGCATTATGTTGATGTAATCTTCCGTGTCGTCTACGTACTCCCTCAGCTTCGATTCCCACGAGCCAAAAAAAAAAAAAAAGGAGAAAAGGAAAAGAAAAAGAAAATCAGTTCTAAAAAGATTGGTTTACTAATACTATACTTCATAATCTCTAGTTTCATCCAGTTTTATTTTAGGGCAAATTACGGCCACCCCCGAGGTATGCTCAAATTACGAAACAACTCCTTATGTTTCAGTAATTACAACCACCCCTCAACTATGTATTATCTTACACGTCCACCCTTACAGTGTCAAATTTACCTACCGAAAAAGGTTTTTTCGTAAGATAATACATAGTTGAGGGGAATGGTTGTAATTATTTCTAACATGAGGGATTTTTTCGTAATTTGAATTAAACTGGGGATGGCCGTAATTTTTCCTTTGTTTTATGTTATTTACATGAGGTTTTTTTTTTTTCATCCAACGCCTTGTTCTAATTGTTAAAGAACTCATCGTGTTATTAATAATAACAAACAACCCCTATGATTCAAGTTTTGTAGCGAACTACCCCTAAAAACTCATTATTTCGTATTAATAATAGCAAACAACACCCTATGATTCAAGTTTTCTACCGAACTACCCCTAAAAACTCATTATTCAGGGGGTTGTATGCTAAAAAAAAAGTATCATAACTTTTTGTGCTAATATAAATAACACGGCTAGTTTTTAGCAATTCGATATACCACTGGGGTACTAAATGAAATAAACTCCTATTCAAAATTGAAGTCCACAAATATTAACTTATTTTTTACTATCACCTTGAATACCTCTAAAACAAACACCCTCTTAGTGTGTGTGTTCAATTTTTCAGAACTTACGATAATGCAAAAATCTCTAGTGGACTCCCGATTATCGCTAAAAGTGTGTGCATTTAAAAAATAAATATAAAAAAAAGGCACGAAAAGCGACAAAAACCGACGAGTTATAGTGAGAGGACATACAGTGGATAGTTTGTTCAACGTGCCATCGATCTGCACGAAATAAGCTTCTAGAATCATCTCAAGCTCCTCGACATCGAGATTCTTGTTAGTAACACTCTGCACACTCGTATGTGTCCTGTGACTGTCTCGCCTAAGACCACTCGATTCGCCTATAATATTGTCCCGGATATCGTTATCGGATATATTATCACGTCCGGTAGCGATTTCATCGAGGGTCCTGATATATATATATATAACGAGAATACAGTTATAATGAGAACTTAATTTAAAAAAAAATGGCCTAGTATTATTAAGTTTTTATAATATGATATGGAATACCTATTCTCCGAGTCGGGCATAACGGTTTCTTCGTCTATGGCATCTAGCTCGTGTTCGGAAGAAACAGAGGAATTGTCGAGTTGCTGCTCGAATTTGTCGGTTAAATACATTTCTGCCATATCTTCATCATCGTCAAGAAGATGCTCTAATTCATCCCGCACCTCATAAAAGTATGTTGGGTTTCAAGCCCGTGATTAGAAACGGGGCCAGAATTTTAATCAAGCGTATGAATGATATTTAATCTACACGGAAAACGTATGATTATACAATCCTATGAAGGATACAATGATTATGTAATTATAAATCACAAGCATAAGTTAATCACATATCGCATTGTCATGAACAATATAATCCTATCCGTTGCAATCAACTTATCAATATTCCCAAACAAGGCCTAAATGTACGATACGTGCGGATGAAGACGGTAATCAAAGCTTCTAAAAATAAACTGATCATGAATTTCAAAATTGGATAATTCACCAAGAAGTAAATCCCGATAAATTAATCTGAAAACAAAATATACACATAAATTAATCGGGCTTCAATCACTAAACGAATTAAAAACTAATCTCAAACATACTGCAGGGAAGAAAAACAAGCAGCTACCTTTTGCACACGCCCCGTTATTGCAACCAATCGACTTTTAATTTGTCGGACACGCTCCAAATTGAGAGTGCTGATCTTCGAAGTAAGCTTATCCAATGCAGGATGAGCTTCTTGCTCTAATCTTCTCGCCTATTTAAAAAAACAACGAACATTTGAGACTAATTATTAGTTCAAGAAAAGCAAAAATATCGAGTTCAAGAAAAAAGAAAGAAAAAGTATTACTTCATTGTCCAAGCTGCTACAAGCAGCCTCGAGACACGCCTCGAGTGCAACAAATTCGAACGGGAGAAGCTTCAAACCATGTCCGTTTTCTGCATTTTCCTCGTCTTTCTTGTCGGGAAATCCTCCGGTGGTATATCGTTGATGAAGACTAATAGCCGTTGATTCTTGATCTTCTAAATTATACATATTTGCCCATTCAGCATTGTTGTCACCCAATCCAGCACCCTTTATAATTCCATTACACAGAAATTCATTAAGGCCCCGTTTGGTTGACAAAATAAGATTAGCCAAGATAAGATAAGATAATAAATTAATCAAAATTCGAAAGACAAATGAGCCAATTAACAAATAAATCAAAATTTAAGAAAATTACCATCACCATGCAAAAATCCCCATTTTAATCCACTAACAAAATCAATTTAGAAAATTCATCATAACCCTAATCTCACAAAACTCATATCAGCGAAAAATTCGCAGCATCCAAACAAACCCTACAAAAATTCGATTCAGCATTTACGCATGTTAATCATGAGAGAGAGAGAGAGAGAGAGAGAGAGAGAGAGAGAGAGAGAGAGAGAGAGAGAGAGAGAGAGAGAGAGAGAGAGAGAGAGAGAGAGAGAGAGAGAGAGAGAGAGGCACCTGCGGCGAATTGACAGATTGACGGTGGCGGAAGATTTGTTGAAGCTTCTGAACAAAAGGGGTAACCAATGGGTCCGTCGAATTCAGAAACAGCACTTCCTGCGCCGTGATTATCGCTTTTATGTGCTCCAAATTCACCACGATTGCCCGCTCCCGCCCCAAAACGGTCGACGGGTACGACAGAACCGGGTCGAGTATCCGTAGATCTCGGGCCGGGAGCCCGGTCCGCCGCATGATGGCGTGTTTTCCGGCCTCCACCACCTGCGCTTGCCCCGCCGAGTCCACCACCAGCCATGCCCGAATCCACACGCCCTTCTTCCGTGGACCGCCGCCGCCGCCTTGCCCGCCAGTTGCCGGACGGAGGAGGGGATCTCCGACGCCGCCTTCCCCTGCCTCCAGCGGCGGCGGCGCTGCGTGTTTTACCGGCAGAGGTGGGACGCCTCTCATTCTTCTCTCTCTCTCTCTCTCGTTCGTTCGATTTGTTACGTAATTTACGCCGTATGGAATTGGAATTCTTTCCTTAACTACGCTATCTATTATATCTTTAATTTTATTTTATCGTAATAATATTACGATATATTCATAATTTTTTGCATGCCCGAAAAGGTGATATTTTCCCTTTACGACAAAGGTGATATTTATTCTTTAACTAGAATTAGGGGCGGAACCAGATTTTTTCGGGAGGAGACGAAAATCTGTGAGAAGGTGAATAAAAATTTATCGGGGTGTCCCGATTTATTTTAGAAGTATCTATGGTCTATGGAGAACAGGGGCGGATCTAGGGAGCTTTGGGTGGAGGGGCGAAAAAAAAGTTTTGGGGTAAAATGGCATAAAATTTTAACTTTAGGGAACTAAAGTATATAAATTAATACATAAATAAGCCAAAATATATAAAAAAAAAAAAAAAAATAAGGTAAAATTTTTTTTTGCAGGGGCGGGCCCCCCAACACAAGCTTTGGGTCCACCCCTGATGGAGAAGATTAGTTGAATGAGTAACATTGTTTGAAAAGAAAAAAAAATCTCGAAATACATAGAAAGTTGAATGATTGAAATTAAACCCAAAACATTGAGAAAAATGTATTTAGTTTAACAAATTCTTGTTTTATGTAAAATTATATTTTATCTTGGGTTTTAGTAAAGATTAGGGATTTGAGATTGCGAAAAAAAATTCTAAAGTATGATAGAAAGTTAAATTTAAATGATATAAATTATAATTTATGTTTAATTGAGGGCTCAATTCACAAGTATTTGTAAAATAAAAATAAGAAAATGCGAGTATTTTCAATTAATGCAAAAAGAAAATTTGCTGGGGGGCCAAGGCAGTGGCGGAGCCAGGAATTCGAGACAGGGTGAGCTTAACATTAACGGGGGTTCGGGGGCAGCGCCCCCGATTTTTTTTTTGGGATTCATTTACATAAAAATATAGCACAAAATAACTACAAATTTATAAACTTAAACTAATATAAGCTATACTAAATTACTTGGGTGGGTGGGCTTAACATTGACGGGGGTTCGGGGGCAGCGCCCCCGATTTTTTTTATATTCATTAACATAAAATAGCATAAAATAACCACAAATTATAAACTTCAACTAATATAACATAAATTTTTTGATAGATAAGCTAAACTAAATTACTTTGGTGGGCTAAATTAAACTATTTGTGGGGCTAATAATATATAGATATAATATATAGTATAAATTTTTAAATAATGAGAGTGGGCTGGAGCCCACCCTTGCCAAAGGGTGGCTCCGCCACTGGGCCAAGGCCCCTCCTAGCCCGCACCTGGTTCCGCCAAAGCATACGTGTATCCCTTATTTTGTAACATCAATAGGATTATTAAGTTCAATCGAACTGATTAGAAATACAATAGAAGTTAGGGGTGAAAATCGGACGTAATGGATTGGAAATGTCTTTTTCGAAAAATTTCCAATTATTTTCGGAAGTTAAAAATAGGTTCCAATTCCTTTCCAAAAAAATCGGAATTTCAAAATCCATTTCAATTTCGAATACCTCGGAATTGGCGTAATTTCGGAATTTTCGAAAATTGCATTAATTCTTATTTTTTGTCCCAAAATCGGAAATAATGGTAATTTTTAGAATTTTTGTTTTTTTTTTCTAATATTTTCGTAATTTTCCGGCAAAAGGCAATAATCCAATCCATATATATATATATATATATATATATATATATATATATATATATATATATTAATTTATATTTCGGAAATAAAATCGGATCGAAAATCGGAATTTCTAACAATTTTATATGTAATTCCAATTCCGTTCCAACAGAAATCGGAATATAGGAAATTGGAATGAAAAAAAGTTTTCCGAATTCGGATAGTTTCGGATCGGAGTTGGCGGAATTCGGAAATTCCGTTCCAATTTTCACCCCTAAGTAGAACCTTAATAAATTCATATCCCAACTCAAGGACAATGCATTAAACTCGAGGGCAACGTATTAAAAATTATTTTGCAAATTTAATAAAATGTGGTGTATCTATATTAATTTATAGAGATTTAACCATATATTGTTTTTTCATAATAATATGCAAGAGATTATAATGTGTTGGACATGTTGCAATATTTATGGAAATTTTGCGTTCCAATTAATGTTTTTCTTCTTAGGATTTATATTAATTTATGTGAAGCAATTTTTATCTTCCACCTATCCACCATTTTCTTATTTTTGTCCAATAAATCTTATTTTTTCCTACTAAATGTAGTGGTGAAAATATGTGTAATTACCACCATTTTATTTGTTAGCATATAAAATGATGAGTTTAACAAATTGCACGTGAGGACATACTTATTAGCATATTTATTGTAAATGCATTAATGTTAATTAATAAATAAAATTTTAAAATACAAATACATTTTTTATTATTAATAAAAATATTAATTCTAACAAATGTAAGGGAAAATTGCACATCGCCCCGTTTAAATTTTTAATTTTGCACTTTAACCCCTCAAAATAAAAAAAAAAAGTGAATATCCCCTTAAAAATGTTATTCTTATTGCACATTGACGGGATAGTAAAATTTCAATGGATTTTTATGCATATTGCCCCTTTAAAATATTATATTTTGTGCACGATGCCCACCGAAATTTGGCTTCAAGGCAAAGTGCAACCAAAACAATATTTCGAAGGAGTAGTCACCTCTTTGAATTTTTAGGGAGGAACGTGCAAAAATAGGAAATTTATAGGGGTGGAGTGCATTTTGTCCTAAATATAAATATGATTATCTTTAATTAGTTTTAAATATTTTTTTAGGGATAATTACAGTTTTGGTCCCCCAAGTTTGCACGTTTTTCACTTTTGGTCCCCCATTTACCGCCGTCAACAAAATACACACTAATGTTGTCACATTTTAACACATTTGGTCCCTCCGTCTGTTTGACCGTCAAGAAGTAACGGTCAACTGTTGAATTAGGGCTGAATTTGAGATTTTTCATAGATAAAAATTGCACTCAGACCCCTGCATTCTTTTAAAATATTCTAAAAACCCCTAAAATTTTATTCAACCATAATTTAACCCCAATTTCATCATTTAATCAATTTTGACAAACGACCCCGATTTTTACAAAGCATTTTCGCTGACCGTTGACCGACGTTGTTGTTGTTTTTTTTTTTTTTTCGGCATTGACTTTTTTTATTTAATATGATTCTGACGCTGTTCACGACATTGTATTCTAGGTTAACAATATTGATTTTTTTTTTATTTTTCTTGATTTTTTATGAACTTTTTTCTTGTGACTTTTTTTTTTCCCGATCAACACAATTACCGTAGACACAATAATAATACTATGTTAATATCTAGTATCATAAGATTAAAATTACGGTCGAAAAAAAAAATCATAATATTAAAATTACAAAATTCTAATAAAGTTTTTATCTAATAACCTCAATTTAAAAAAATTCTAAAATCCATAATTTGTTCCCCTCAATTTTTTCCTCGTGGAACCGCCAGTGTATCCCAAATTTCTTCCTTAAAAAATATGAAGACGATGAATTAGGCATGTACGGAGTAATTTGGAATGAGACAACCACTCTAGTACAACGTTTTTTGGGCTAACACCGGCCGTTAATTTTTATCTTTCTTTTTGGTCTTAAATTTTTTCCGTTATTGAGATGCGTTGACTTTTTCCCTTTTTCTTTATTTTGACTTTTTCTATGATATTTATTTCTTGCCGATTATCAGCTTTGAATTTTTTTTGAATTATATTTTTCCATTACTCAACAATTAAAATAAAAATAAAATAAAAATCAAGAGAAAAATGTCAACGTTGTTAACCCGACATTCAACATTGATCAACAAGTTCAAAAAAAGATCAATCGAAAAAAGAGTCAACCGAGTTAAAAAGAAAGTCAAGGTCGGATTACCCAATTTTGAAAAATCGGGGTCATTGGTTAAAAATGATTAATTGATGAAATTGGGGTTAAATTATGGTTGGATAAAAGTTTAGAGGTTTTTAGAATATCTTGAAAGAATACAGGGGTCTTATTGCAATTTTCTCAAAGAAAAACCCCAAATTCAGCCATTGACCGTTACTACTTAACGGTCAAATAGACGGAGGGACCAAATGTGTTAAAATGTGACAACATTAATGTGTATTTTGTTAACGGCGGTAAATGGGGGACCAAAAATGAAAAACGTGCAAACTTGGGGGACCAAAACTGTAATTATCCCTATTTTTTTAGTATCGATGTTGATTAATTTATTTCTTATTTAACTAATACGCTAAATGATATTAATAAAATATAATAAGCAATAATAGAATGGTTAACGAAACACATTTTAATTGATGAATTACATGACATGACCATTAAATTGAAATGCATCGCTTATAAAACAACAAACAATGTAGCTCCGTTTCTCTTTGCTCTCTCTCTGGAAAGCTTTCTTTTTGGACTTTTCCTATTCTGAATATTGGTATTCATCTCTCTTGCCCTTCTCTTTTCTTCTCTATCCCCCCATCTTTCCCATGGATCAATCATCTGCAATAAATGGTCTCATTTCCCACACAGTTAACCTTCAATGCTCTGATACTACCCAAACCCCTGGAAATCCCGACACATTAAACACACATTTCAAAGAAGAACACCCACCGATTGCCAAAATTCTTACACAAAAAAACATCAACTTAAATGCTTTCAAAGCGATTATGCTGAAAGCATGGAACCCTCAAGGCAGAACACTCACAATACCATGGCATTTATCTTCGAATGCCGCTCAGATTTATCCAAAATCCAAAATCTGTCATGGACTTTTCGTGTTTGGTCACCGGATAGCCCTTACTGACCTTGATTCTTCTAAAACTCCTCTTTGGATTCAAGCTCAAAACCTCCCAGTCTGCCTCATGAACATCAACACTGCAAAACTTATTGGCAACACCATTGGAGAGTTTATCAAAACCGACACCATTACCACTAGTCACAAATGGAAGAAGGCCTTACGTATCAACATCCTTCTGGATATCACAAACCCCTGCTTGACTCTGTTGTCATTCCAAGGCCGGGAGGAGCTGATCTTCGGACATATATAAGGTATGATAGATTGGCAGAGTTCTGTTATTTTGTGGATTATTAGGGCATAAGATGGTTAATTGTTCTTCACACTTGTTGGCTGATAATAAGGAAAAATCTCAATGCATGTTTGGTCCCTGGCTTAAACCAGAATATCCCCACGTTTACAAGCCTTCTTTTAACCCTCCATCAGAAAACCTTTCTTCGCCGGAAATATTCTTAGGCGGAGGAAACGCAACATTAATGGGAGTGGACATTTCTGAGGATATAGACTACCCTATGTGTCCTATAATTAAAAAAACGCCTCAGTTTGACCTCTATTTTCAGGTCTGACCCACCTACTCTCTCTCTAAAGAAACCACCCAACGTGTCTTCACTTGGGCTTTTCTGGGAAGGAATTCAAATCAAACAAATGGGCCTCTCTACTCACCCAAAAAAAGAAAATCGGATTCTCCCCCAGCCCATCTACAAAAAAGAAAAAAATTGAACCAAGCCAATTGGGAAATCAATCAGGAAACTCCCAAATTAGTCCCGATGAACTAAATTCCCAAATTAACTCTGCAAACTGTTTCTCTCACCTTCACCTAGAAAACCAATTGACCCAACATACCTCTAAAACCCTTGTCCCTCCTCGCTATTTGGAAGATCTTAAGTGTCCCCATCTCTTTCTATCCTTGGAAATCTCCTTATATTTCAACCAGTTCATAACTTTTCCTGCTCTAAACCTATACATGCTTCGTTAGAACCATCAACAAAGGACATCATAATAAACCCCCATACTAAAACACTAATCAATACTCAAAACGACCAAATTAGAAACACCCATCAACAAATAACAATCACTCAATTCTCAAAACAACCAAATTTTAAGTACCCATACAACATTTCGACCAAAATTAAATCTAAGAAAACCAAAAAAACCCTTATTTGAACTCGTCGATAACGGAGTCCGACAATGGTGATGATGACGGTGGTGGAGCGGTCTTCAACTCCCGCGGTGGCGTGGATGTGGCGGCGGCTAGGGTTTCGCATGATCGGTTGGTGGGGGGGGGGGGGGGGGGGATTGGTTGGGTTAGTGGGGACCCCTTAAGATTAAATTGTTGTACGTATAACACATAATTAAAACACGTAAATTATCAATAAAAACAATTATATATATATATATATATATACTGCGGCTATATGCAAAACTAATTTTACTTGTGCAAAACCAAATTAAATTATTAAATAAGATGCATGCATGAATATCGATTATCGTATTTTAAATATATTAGTTTATTAGTTTATTTTATTTTATTAATTTATTTTTTTAAATTCACTAAAAGGGATTATTTAAGTTTGGTATTTAACATGTAAGGTAGGTGTGGGGCCTATCATAGAATGACCTGAAGGTGGCCAAGCATGCGTTACATATAGCCACTGGATGTGTTGACGGAAAAATACGGATATGGAATATTCTGTCGGGGGTTTGTGAAAATACATTGAGTGGACATTGTGGTGCAATTCAGTCGATTAAAAGAACTTGCGACGGAGATTTCTAGTTTCCGTTTCGGTTAAAAGCTCTTAAATATTGTATAAGCTACTTTTAATAAATTATAAGCTTAGTCAAACACCATTTAAATTTGTTAAAATCAGTTGATCCTAAGTTCTTGTGAATGTAGATAACAATTTTGAAATGTTTATAAATAATTCAAAAATTAAAGAAAGTTAATTGCTTGACGAATAAATTGACTTTATACTTCTACTATAAAGTTTGACTTCATTTACTTTCTTTTGAATTTTATAAATGTTATAAGTGTCTTTTCTCTACTCCTTTCGATAAGTAAAGTTTCAGTTAATTGATTATATAAAGGGGTGCAATTTTAATGTAACCTCAAATATAACTCAACATGGTCACCTTAAAATAAAATAAAAATGTTGTAGAAATAGTACTTTACATAAAGTCATACATACATGCGATTAATAGTTTATAAATGCATAAATGCGATTAATCATATATTTTTTGATTTTTTCACACAAAAAATATTTTACAAAAAATAAAATAAAAAAACAAAAAATATCCTTCACCTATTTAAGTATCAAGTTTGAAGTTACTTGCAAAATAATATTTTCTTCCAACGATTTCTACCAAATATTTTAACCAATTACAATAAAAAAATCATCTATCAAATAATTTATTTAGAAATATTTTTTTTAAGAAAATATAGTTTTTTCAGTCATTAGGTGTGATTTTTGTTTTCTCACATTTTGTAAGCTCGAAATTATGTTGGGTAAGAAAATTGTATTTAATTTGTTATTTTGCACCATGGAAATAAAAAAAATCAATAAAAACTAAAAATTTCCCTCATTAAATTATAGATACTCAATTCATGGTGCTTTATTATGAACAATTTATTGAGTTTCGAGAGAGCAAAATGCGAAAAAACCATATTTCAAGAGTGCAAAGTGAGATTAATCTTATTATATTCCTCCGAATGTTGAATAATTTACATAAATAAGAAATTACAATTTAAGTCCCCTCAATTTCAAGAAAGCCAAAAAAAATTGAAATCACATCTTTTAATCAAATCAATAAATAAAATAGAATTTGAATTAAAAAATAAAAATAAAAAAATTAAACGAATAAATTGTGGTAGGACCACAAATATTCTTTTTCCATCATAAACAAAAATACAAGTAATGAACTGTACTCCCAAATAAAATGCTACTAACAATAGCATGAAATCAATGCATCATCTTTCACAAGTCTACATATAAAACACCTAAAAAAATTGACTGAAGCTTTCTTTTGATCAAATACACACACACACACACACACACACACAGCTGGAAGCAAATAATTTTGAGCAACAAATAATTAGCTAATATAATTATTGTTTTCAGAAAAAAAAAGCAAAGATAAATTATTATTTTTAATCCTCCACCTTCTCCTTCTCCGCCCAGCTTCGCCGCCATTGTTGCTAAGTTGTAAGTCTTCGTCTTCTTCTTCACGTTTATATTTTATTTAACTGTATAAATTTTTTGCATGGCGTAGTGTTTTAATTGGGTAGAGGTTCAGTAACTGTAGCAATGGCAGTAAAAACAAAATAGTTCGATTAAATTATTTTCTGTAACTCGAATTCACGGCGGTAATAACTTGAAAAAAAATAGTTTAGATATGATTTGGCATGGGTAATATAAAATAATGACTTCCATTCCATGTTTATAATATTTAATTAATTAATTAATATATAACAGTCATTTTTATTTGTTTAATTATTAATTAATTAGTATAAATAGACTTGGTGGGATTACTTTATCAATTATACAATTTTGTTTTTTTTTTTTTTTAATTATTATTAGGGCCAATAGAATAAACCAGAGGCAACCCAATAGTTACTGATAATATTACGGAGTTTCTTCCCCCATTTTTTTTTTTTTTTTGAAATTTTAGGTTTTGAGCTGCGTAATTCTTCCCCCGAATTAAACTATTTGAAATTTTAGGTTTTGAGTTAATCGGATATGGAGTATTTGTATTTCCCCCAATTTTTTTGAAATATTAGGTTTTGAGTTGCGTAATTCTTCCCCCAAATTAAACTATTTGAAATTTTAGGTTTTGAGTTCATCGGATATGGAGTATTTGTATTTCCCCCAAATTATTGAAATTTTAGGGTTTGAGTTTATTGGATATGGAGTATTTGTATTTGTATTTCCCCCACACCATAGAAATTTTAGGTTTGAATGGAGTTCTAGGTATAGATTAAAGAGGGTGGGTTTTCAGTTATTTCCTTCCTAAATTTGATCAATTGAGCTGTTTGAAGTTCAGATTATGTCTTCACCTAGGCCAAGGTAATTTTTTATTTATTTAATATATTTTCTTTTTTGTTTAAACTGATAAATTCCTCTAAAATGGTGTAATGGAGGAAAAAAATCTCATTAATAGGAAGAAAGAAAAACAAAAAAAAAATGTTATTGCAGTTAGGGGTGTTTCTGAATATATATATACACACACACTTGTACCGTAAGCTCCGATCTTTTTCGTGGCAATGCCTTTAAAGAAAAGCTTACGATACTTTCCTCTCTTTACAGTCTCGGTTTCGGTTACTACCTGTGCGATAGGATATCGATCGAGATGCCAAAAGTCCCTTTAAACGTCAACGTCGAAGGAACTGCTACCTAGCCTAGCCGTTGGTTTCGGAAAGTCAACAGGTTGGGACGGTTGAATTCGAATTTTTTAAATCGTATTTTCTCAGTTTCGCTTCAATTTGAATATTCACTTTCCAGGGGATGATTTTGTGTTAGTTTTTTTTTTTTTTTTTTTTTTTTTTCTTTTTTTTTTTCCATTCTACCTACTGTTCGTTGGACTTCTCGGAATGAAATTATAGTGATTTAAATGCCGTGTAAATTTCATTTCTATGTTCACTGAAGTGGCATTCAGAATCAATGAGAATGAGGTTGGACACATCATTTTACGCATGTGCGCTGACCATAGCAGTTTTTTTCGTCACGTTGTTCTCTCAACAGAAAACTCTACTTTCTCAGCATTCAAGAAACGGGATCGGGTATTCTCAAGCACACTGTTCTTACTTCAGGTAATTACGTCTGCCCTTGACTTTCAAAATGATGATGCTTTTTATTAGGTCTATCACTCCTTGGTATTTTTTGTTGAACTTTGAACTCATAACGAGTAAAACTTCGTATAAATTGATTTATATCATTTTCACATAAGTGGCATTTAGAACCAATGTTACAAGACTAGTTATTGTGGCTAAAGAGGGATAGTTACACTTTTGGTCCCTATATTATACACGAAAATCCATTTGAGTTCCTATATATTTTTTTGCCTCGATCATTGGCCACCTTTTTTTCAATTTCGATCTGCCATTTGATTTGGGTGTTAGTTTGGACAGAAAAATCACGTGTTTTTTCACGTGAGGATGCTGAAGGACCCCCCTGCTTACCTTCATTTTCCATTTAGCCCCAACTTTACTTTATTCCTCAATTTCATCCTAAAAAAACTTTAACCAAACCGCAACAATTCTTCGCTCGAAAACTATGCACCTCGTAGGAATATCGATGAGACCTATACCCTATCTCCCAATCCTCGATCACGTTTTCTTCTTCTTCCTCCATTTTCCTTCTCCACCAAAACAGATACAGTAAAAACAGGGCTGAGTTTTAGTTTGTAACTCTTTGCTATTCTTCATAAAGAAATCAAGCAAAATTATAGGCATTAAAAGCCGAGATGAAGAAATGGGGATTTTATTTGGGATTTATATTTTTTAGGATAAAATTGTAGGACTAAATCGAAAATAGAGGGAAAAGGAGGGTCGAGGGGGTTATTTCAGCATGCTCACGTGCTCCACACGTGACTTATTCCGTCCGAATTAACACCGATAGCAAACGGTGGACTAAAATTGTAAAAACGGTGGTTAGTTTGAGCACTAAAATTGTGGCCAAACAAATATAAGGACTGAAATCGATTTTTGTGTATAATATTGGGTCCAAAAGTGTAATTATCTTTAACTTTATACACTATGTCAACACGCGCTTGGTTCTCTCCACTGCTCAAGGCTTATTATTATGCTGTTTTGATTTATTCAAACTCTCTCACCTCCGTGAAAATTTAATTTTATCGATTACAAAATTTATAGCCATGATAGTAAATGACAATTTCGTTAATTTTAATAATTTGAACTTTTATTCTTACTCGTCAAATGTAATTTGCCATGATTTCTTTTTTTATTTGCATTTTAATATCTCAGTTTCGTCAGTTTTGCATTATGATATGCTACTGTTCATCGGACTTCTCTGAATGAAATTATAGTATTGTGTAGATTTCATTTCTATGTTCATTAAAATTGCATTTAGAATCAACGAGATTGAAGTCACACACACCATTTTACGCATGTGCACTCACCATAGCAATTTCTCTTAACATAAAACTCTATTTTCTCAGATTCAAGAAACGGGATCCTCAAGTAGACCGTTCTTCATTCAGGGATAAAACAAAAAGATTTGTTTGGGAAACGGGTCAAACACAAATCCACCATTTCCGGTAATTACTTGTGCACATCATTACCTCTTTTTTTTTTTTTTATTTATTTATTTTTTTAGTTAATTTTTTCTTGATTTTTCCCTTTTTAAGTTTTGCTATGTCTGTTATGTGGAAAGTTTTAATGTCTTTAAAATTTAAATGTGCACCATTCGGTAGCTACGTTTGGCCTTGATTTTTTTTTTGCTGCATGATATAAGCTTCCATTTGGTATTGTTTTCTTGAACTTCAAAAAATGACAACGAGTAATTAAAATGTCGTGTAAATTGATTTATATCAATTGACAGAAATAATGTTACAAGACTAATTATTGCGGCAAACGACCAATTATTAGTTGAACTTAAAACAATTTATGATTTATTATTAAAATATATGGAACTAAAAATGTTAGGCATGTAGTCGTTTCATGCTAAGGAGTAACATGTGAACTTAATTAGTACTCATACATAATCATTTCTATTTATATGCTGATATATTGCTACTACTTGCAGATATTGTTTTCCAATCATCTGAATTGAGTTGTTGCAACCGGGGCATTCATTATTCCAGTATCTATTTATTTTACTCTCAAGGTCCGATTTCTAGTTTATTAAATTATTTCTTAGTTGAGAATTGGAGTTATACACTTAATTTTCGAGCATTTCCTTGTGTTTGTTGATTTAATCTGTACGATGTGGAATCAAATGGTTATACTCACGGTATGTAAAGTCACACCAGTGTTTTTCACATCCCCAAATTTTAGGAAACATAGCTTGCACTAATTATTACAGTATCCGTAAAGTGAAATTGGGTGTAGAAATGGTTTTTATTTCCTAGGAAGGCAATTACGGTGGGCTATATTGGCATTATGACATGCTTTAGTAATTAGATAGGGAAAATTACGGCCATCCCCCTGAGTTATGGTCAAATTACGAAAACCCCACTCCTGTTTGGGTAATTACAGCCATCCCCTCAACTATTTATTATCTTACGAAAATACCCCTCCAGAGGTAAATTTAGGGATTAAAAACGATAAAACTGAACAGAAATTTCGGTACTCCAACATTTCATGCAGTTTACCGAACTGAATATACGATTTGGTTCGGTAAATAATCGAATTACATAAATTTTATGTAAAAATATTTAAAAGGAGGGGAGTGGCTGTAATTACCCAAACAAGAGGTGTTTTTTCGTAATTTGGCCATACCTCAGGGGGTGGCTGTAATTTTCCCAATTAGATATTATAAACCCGGACCATTTAGCTTAAGTGGTTGTGAAGGTACTTTTAGCTGCCCTTTTTCTGAACTTGGAGTATTAGAATAATGATTCCTTGATGCTTTGTTTATGATAATGACTTGTTCATCAGTTGTTTTGATTGTATTCCATTTTCTTTCATTTCAGAACTTTGTGTTTAAATTGTGTGGCCAAACAAATATAAGGACTAGAGTGATTTTCGTGTATAATGTTGGGGTCAAAAGTGTAATTATCTTTACCTTTATACACTATGATCAACACGTGCTTGGTTCTCTCCACTGCTCGAGGCTTATTATTATGATGTTTTGATTTATTCAAACTCACTCATCTCCGTGAAAATTTAATTTTATCGATTACAGAATTTCTAGCCATGATAGTAAATGACAATCACGTTAAGTTTAATAATTTGAACTTTCTTACTCGTCAAATGTAATCTGCTGCCATGATTTGTTTTTGCATTATAATTTCTCAGTTTCGTCAGTAGCAATAGCTTCCATTTTGAATATTCACATTCCAGGGGATGAGGTTTTCTTTTTTTTTTTTTTTAAATAGTTTTTTCTCTCCTTGGACTAATCTGCATGAAATGTCGTGTAAATTTCATTTATATGTTCACTGAAGTGGCATTCAGAATCAATGAGATTGAAGTTGCAAACACCATTTTATGCATGTGCACTGACCATAGCAGTTTTTTTCGTTTTTTTCGTCAGGTTGTTCTCTCAACAGAAAACTCTACTTTCTTAGCGTTCAAGAAACGTGATCGGGAATTCTCAAGCACAGTGTTGTTAGTTCAGGTTATTACATATGTCCTTGACTTTCAAAGGGATGATGCTTTTAATTAGGTCTATCACTCCTTAGTATTATTTGTTGAACTTCGAACTCATAACGAGTAAAATGTCGTGCAAATTGATTTGTATTATTTTGACAGAAGTGGCATTTAGAATGTTATAACAAGATCAGTTATTGTGGCCAACGACCAATTATTCGTTGATCTTGAAACAATTTGTAATTTATTAATGAAAATATCGGATTATACATTAACTTTCAACCAGACACACTTTACTCTTATACGGGAAATTAATATGCCAGGGAATTGTTACCTTAAATGTAATTTCACAAATTCAATGCGTTCTGTACAGGATGTTTTCTTGGCTATTAGCTAATGTTACTGCATAACGTTTCGATAGCTAGTGTTTATATGGATAAGACCTTAGGGTTTAGCTGTCTTTTGCCGTGTGACATATTGTACATATTTTTCTTCGTTTCATTTCAGATGTAATAAGATGATAAGACTTGTTTCTTGGTCTAATCATAACATTCTTTTCATTTCAGATGGACGACAGTGCTTTCCATGTTTCACCATCGTCGTCGTCGCCTGCAGCTGATCCGTCGGATGTCGAGTACCTAGATATTCAAGCTGCATCAGAATCCTCCGGAAACAATTCTGGATCACAGGGTAGTGTTGATTCGCTAGAAGTTGGAATGGGGTCCCCGATGTCAGTGGGCTCTATTCCCTCTTACCATGGGACCCCAGATCATATTCATGATGGCCCAAACTTCCCTCCAGCGAACCCGGTTGAAGCCGATGGGTTCAATTGGACGCGTTTTCTGAAGCTGATAGGCGCCATCGTTGTAGTTTGCGCATTTGTTCTTCTGATCGCATTGATCTTCACAAAGACCAGAAAGAAGGAAGATTTAATGCCAAGAACCGATGAAGATTGCATGATCAGGATATCCGTTTCGAAGAACGGGAAGTCCGACTATCGGACGATTTCTGAAGCGGTGGACGCATCCCCGAGCCACAGTCCGTTCAGGATTTGCATACTCATTGCGGCGGGCGAGTACGACGAGAAGGTGGTCGTCGGACGATTCAAGAGCAATTTGACCTTAATTGGAGAAGGAAGTCAAAAGACCACAATCACCTCAAATTCAACGCTGCCGTTGAAGGTTATTGGCGTCACCGCAACTTTATGTAAGTATTTTTTTTTATGTTAATCTGTTTGTTGTTCGTATCTTGTTTTATTTTCTGATTTTGACGCTTTTCAAAAATTTGTAGCGATCTCCGGGACAGCGTTTATGGCTCGAGACTTGACCGTGTTGAATAGCGCACAACACGGTGTTGCTGTCGAGAGTTGGAGCGACTACTCGGTCTTCTTCAGGGTCATATTGAAGGGAGTTAACACGACATTGATTGCGGGGGGAGGGAACCAGTTTTACCGCAGTTGTCTGTTTTACGGTAAAAGCTATCTAGTAGTAGGAAATGCGGATTCTTTTTTTCAGAAATGCGACTTTTATAGCGAGATATCACATTCCGACGAAACCGCTGTTTTCTTGGGCCAATCTCGCAACTCCTTGAATTTCCAAACTGGTTTTTTGATCCACCAATGTGGATTCTACGCCCCCGGTGTCCCCACAGATCACTCGAAGGTGTTTTTAGGTAGTGCTTTGGGAGATTATGCACTCATTGTAGTGATGCAGTCGTACTTAGATGCACCAGTAGCGAGGTACTTCGAAAACACGCCTCCGTTGATTGATAGTTCCTTTGTCACTTTCGGCAATAGTGGACGTGGTTCGACCATCGAAAGGGAATCATCAGTCGTACATCCACTAGGTCTCGAGGCAGCCGAGGCTAGATATTCTCTTAGAACTTTCATAGGCGGAATTGATTGGATACCAGATGATGTAGATCATGATATGGATTTGGCTCGGTGATGTAGTTCCTTTGTCACAAAGCAAGGTAATCTTTCGCTCGGTTCTAATTCGGATGAATTATTTCGATCAATTTCTTGCACTGTTGCTATCTTGTGTTATCATCGACTAGATTTTGGTCCGTTCTGTTGCTATCTTGGTTTTCCAGAAAAAAACTTATACTGGTTTTCTCTTTTTTTTTTTTTTTTTCCCGAAGGATAACTTATAATAAGGGCTCTGATTTTTGATCAAGATAGAGGAAATTAATTTAGAGTTGAGAACCTTGGATTGTTACCATTTTTCGTTGCGAAGCATCTTCGACATATGCTAGTGAACGATTTATTGATTCGAACTGTAGTGTTTGCTAAAGATTAGCCAATAATTTGCTAAAAGAGGGACAGCTGGCGGCTTTGCTCTCTTGTTTGACGAGCTGATGAAGTCGAATACCAGCTCCACCTTCTAGAATAATTCCCAATGCATCCTCAGGTGTTTGGATTTTCTGATTCTTTAATGGACTACACACGCCCACCGTAAGTATTTCCCCTAATATACAGATTTAAATTCAATAATCGTGTTCTTTGTTGAGTAGTTTCGTTGATTTGCAGATACGTGATGAATTGGTGGAGCGGCAAAAAGTGGATTCCCAGTGAATAAATTTTGAAGTTTCATAAATTCGAATATCAGCTCTCTTTGGATTCAAAAGATGGCTATCTAATTCTCAATTCTCTACTTTTCTTCCCCCGTTAAATTTCAATGGCTGCCGCAGATGTTGAATCCCCCTCGAGCAGGACGTTTCTTCAAAATTCTGATCGAGCTACTAAGAAATTCGAGACAAAAATCGAGGGCGAAAGTAGTATATTAAAAATGGGATTTTGTCTCGAGGTAACTTAATTTTGTTTCGTTTCTTTGTTTAACATTAGTTTGGCCAAATTTAAAAAAATAATAAAAAATAATAAAAAAAATTGTCTGAGTTGTTTTTGTGTCTATGTGTAGAAGGTGTGGTTTTGGGCTATTGATGTGTAAAAGATCTGGATGCTAGTAATTTGTATGCGTTCCCGGCAAAAAGATTTTGAAATTTAATTTTGTACCATATGTACCTTGTTGTAAATACTGGCAAAGTTAGAAACTGAATGTGTATATAAACTTTGATGCTGGTTGCTAAAATGTTTCTGACAATTCCAAATGAACACATCACAAAGGCCGTAAAAACAGAGGTATGTAGCCTTTTGTAGTTCTCTTTGACTTTTTTCTTGTTATTTTCGGGTGAACAATCAAGTTGGTGTCAAAGCTGAATTGGTCGAACGAAAACGGGAATTTAATTTAGATAGATTACTGACTATAAAATGTGATTGCCAACAAGTTGAAGAGGAATAATACGATTTTGTGCTCAGTACGCATTTTATCTGTATCTATATCTTTTATTCTACTCTTAAAAGTCGCAATCTTAGTGGGTACAAAAATACCTTTTTACGTAGGTAAATTTTGAATTATCAAATAATACAATTGTTCTATTTCTTCACTTCCCTACGTAATTAATGTGCATTTCTCGAACGATTATTAGGAGATGGTGCAGGTAGTGAGTACTGCAATGTTAGATTTCCTCCGGCTAGAAAGGCACGGCGCTAATCTCAACGATCCTCTTTGGAGCGCCTCAAGCAACGAGAAATACTTGTTGCAGCAATCTGTTGGTAGTTATGGTGCTTACCTAGCTGATGGTTCGGAATACAGTGGTGATTATGGAGATGCTATGGATTTGGAGTTCTTGAAGAATTTTCATCGTATAGCCTTTGAAACGGTATCCAACGAGCTCGAAGCTCAGGTATTTGATACGCTTCTCGAGGAAGAAGAAATTAATATTCCTTCATGGATGTCTTTTAATTCTAAGGATGGAATTAATGTGGTTAGCTAGCGGTGATTCTTTGTCCGAATGTGTTGCGATTGCTGAATCATTCGACAAAATCGTTGCGGTTGGGATCAATTGTACCCCACCGAGATTTATCAGTGATCTGATTTTATCCATCAAGAAGGCACACTCGTTTTACCCAAATAGTGGTGAAAGTTACGATGCCGATCGGAAGGAGTGGGTGCAAAATACAGGGGTTTCGGAAAGGGACTTTGTTTCGTATGTAAACAAATGGTGTGAAGTTGGATCATCTCTCGTTGGAGTTTGCTGCAGAACAACTCCCCACAAGATCGTTGGGGCATTTGATTCGATCTTGTATCACATTCATGATCGACGATGATTTCCGCCAGCTGGCAATACTGTATGCAGTATGCAATGTTGATATTCGATTACAATTTTTTTCAGGTACAAAATGTATGAGTTTTGTTATTGTAAATGTTGTGAGTAGCCACCATTTGAAACTACGTAATCTGGTTTTGTTCCAACCTTATTTCGTTAATTCACATTATATGGCAGTATTAATTAGTACCATCGATTTTTCTTTTTCAATGTTTTTCAGATAAATTAATGTGTGAAAGTCGCATTCGGTGAATGAAAATCAACCTTAATAATTTTATTAATTAGATTTAAAACTACTTATGGTAAGTTACACCCTCATTTCTATTTCTCGCGAGATTTTCATTTGAATAAAGGACATAATTGTCTTAAAAATCTAATATTTATCTTTCTTCATCCAGCTTATATTTTAAAGCTTCTATTCTATTTTCACTTGCTACCACTTGCAACAAAATTCTAACTTTCATCCTTTTTTTTTTTTTTAATTACAAGAATGTTCAGAAACTATTTTATTAATACTACATATATATTAATAAGTCAATTTATTAGTAGGCAATATAAGAGGTTTAATTATATCAATATTACATGTAATGTAGAAAATAATGAAAGCATACATAGAAATTACTAGATCCTGCACATAATAAAATTTCTTTCTCTCTCTAAAATCTCAAATGTCGGTCTTATTCTCTCCCCCAAACAAGTTCTTTTCCCCTCATGTTTGCACAAAAACATCATAAAAACAGTATTATAATTCGAGATTCGAACTTGAAGAAAACCTTTTGAAATTTATTTTACAATCAAGGTAATCCTTCTATCTCAAATTAATTCTACTAATTAACAGTACAATAAATTTTTCTTCTCTCTTCTCTCTCTCTCTCTCTCTCTCTCTCTCTCTCTCTCTCTCTTAAAAAAAAAAAATTCAATTCAATTTTATTACTTGTCAATATATATATGGTGGTTGGTAGAGGGTGATGAAAGGCCCGCCATGAAATACGTCCATGGTAGATGTGGGATTTTGGGGGGGAGGGGGGGTGGGGTGCCTGCCATGAAATTCACGTCATGGCAGGTGTGGGGTTTTGGGAGGCGCGGCTAGGTTGAAAGCGAAGGGCTGATGCTTTCTTTCATAAATTTTTTTTTTTTTAATTCATATCAATTCAATTATTTATTATTTTTTTAATAAATATTTAATGATTAATAAAATTTTAATACTTTATAAATACTGAATAAATGTTAAAAATATTTTAGAATTAAATAATTAGAAATTTAAAATATTGAATACATGATCAATAAATATTTAGACTTGTTTAATAAATATTAAATAACTATCAAATATTTAATAAATGCTTAATTTATGTTAAATGTTTTTTTTAAATGTTTAATAAATATGTTTCGTAATTGTTTTTTTACAGATGCCTCGTCGATGAGTAGGACACACGGGAACAACTTCAGCATATTAGGAATTCGAGGATCAACAAACACCAAGTCAATAACCTCATTCGTCATTGAATCGGCGCGGTGTCGTTGTATATACTTGCTCTAATCAATACCCTGCATCAAATGTTGAATAACTGTCTTTCTGCCCATTAATTTAGTTTTGATTTTGAGTCTTGCATTATAAATGTATTTCAACGAAGTGGTAATATTTAAATCTTCACATCAAAGATAGTTTAAAATCTTCTTAGGCTTCACGTGACTTCTCGTCAACATCTCGGTAACTTCATACTGCTTATGCGAGAGTTGTTTATAAAGACCATGCTTCGAAGTCGGAGGATGATTATGCTTCCCGTAAACTATAGAGAGTTCTCATTTATCATCTGCTTGTAGAGCCCCCTTCAGCTGGAAATCACAATTACATTTTTTCGTGTCAGTACATTTTGTACTTTCTACACCTCTATTCTTCCGTTTCACATATTTTTTTCCATATCGATCACAGGTGACGTATACTCTATCACAAAAAGTATGACCTATACTTAGCTTAATGCCATGGCTTTCAGCTGTGTCTCTCGCCCACTGTATTAAATCGGCTCTACAATTAAACAATTGTAGTCCTAAAAAATATTCAGAATAATCAACTTCCCTATTATCCTGGAAAAAAAATATAACAAAAAAAAAAACACAACATCGGATCGCATTTAAAGTAGAAGCGGACGCATCAAAGACAGCGCCCACCTTGGACGCGAATACAGTGTACTGCGCGCCCAACATGTGCGCGCTATTTATTTCGTCTTCCAGGTTGTCTGCCCTCTGCGTATGACGATTTTTTAGCAAAAAAAATTAAAATCTTACATCAGGTTTAAGTGGATTGTCGTTAGAAGGTATTGAACTCATTAGTTGATAATAATTACGTAACAAAAAACGACTTTTGATGACTTCTTAGTATTTTGAAAACCCTAGAAAAAAGTTGGAGAGAAGTCGAAAAAATAGAGCATAAAGAGAAAATATTTTTTTTGTGTAGAAATTTTTTTTTATGTGCGGGATTTAGTAACTTTTTGTGTGGAAACCCTAAAAAAAGTTAGAGAGAAGTGAGAAAATATTTAGTAGAGAGAGAATATTTTTGGTAGAGAGAGAATATTTTTTATTTATGTGCGGAATTAAGTAACTCTTAGTGTAGGATTTAGCACCCCTCATATTAATAACACACATAAGCTTTATTAAATATATATATATATATATATATATATATATATATATATATATATATATGGCGAATGACAAAAATGCCCATCACATGGAACTTAAATTCATTTTGGTCAAAAAAAAAACAGTCTATCAATTAAACCCATCCCCATGTCTTTAGTCTAAAATACCCTCCATAATATAATTTTTATCAATTCTACCCATTATGCTCTAACTTCCTTAATATTACACATTTACCCCGAATTTAAACAAATATATCACATTAACCGCCAAAACTTTTTTTTTTCAGAAAATAATTTTTTTTTCCGGCCAGATTCCAGCGTTGATTTTTTTTTAATCAACTCGATATCAGACTACATTAATTCGTTTTGCTAGCAAATTGAATTCAACAAAATTGTAAATTGCAAGAATTTGGATCGATGAGTGAATACGAGAAGGATATCAATAACTTCGAACAAACAATTTGCAAATTAAGACCTAACAATTTAAAATTTATTATGAAAATAAAATTTGAACAAATTCAATAAATTTGGTTTCATGAATATGAACTCTCCAGCTCAAGTCCTTCCTGAGTTGAACCTTGGAAGCTCAGCTAGGCTGGATTTGTGCAAAAATTCTCTTCAATTTCTTGAGTTTTGAAATTTAGGGTTTCATATAACGACGTCGTTTTTGAAGGCTGATATGGGTTCATTGGAAAGTGCTTTAGGAGTTGTTGGGCCTGACTTCAATATTAAATTAAAGGGGATGATCTAGGCTAATCTTATGAGTTATTAGCAAGAGTAAACTGCAAAATGTACCCATGTGTAATCTCTAAATAGCAAAAACCCCCATGTGATAAATAAACTAGCAAAACCCCCCTGGTTGACTTGTGTGTGGCTCACTCGCGGGTTGCGCGACTGGGAGTTGGTTTTTAGACGTAAAATGACGAAATTGACCCCGAGTAATTTATGTTTGAAAGGGTATTTTGGTCTTTTCAGGTCAAAAACATACCCCGAGTCGTGAAATCCGCGTGTGCAACACACATTCAGCTCGTAGGGACCTGATTGGCTTTTGACTAATTTTTATAGGGAGGTTTTTGCTAATAATTTTAATACAAGGACTTTTTCAACAATTATAAATTACAAATGGGTGATTCTTGCCAAAAAAAAAAAAAAAAACCCTAATCTTATATATGTTAATTACCAAACTTTAAATAATCCCCTTCTAGTGAATCGAAAGAAATAAACAAATAAAATAAAACAAAGTGATAAAGTCATATATTTAAAATACGATCATGGTATTCGTGCATGATTGATGATGCATCTTGTTTAATAATTAATATATTTAATGGTTAAATATATAGGAAACTATTAATATATTTGAGTTTTCACCATTATTAATTTATCATTGATTTTTTCTCTCCTTAATTTAAATATAGGAAGTATAAAATTGAAGAAAGAGAGAATTATGAAACTAGAAATTAAAAGATATACATACCAAGATTACAAGATATATTTATAATAATAATATAATAAATAATAATAACAATATAGAAACAATATACGCTAATACTAAATATGTTTGGAACGTGTGATTGACACAATAAAAAATTTCCATGATATTGAATAAAGATTTAAGGGAATTGCATGTATTATAGTAGTAGGCTATGTGCATCAATTATATATATAATACACACACAAACACAAACACAAACACAAACACAAACACACTAGCATCAAAATTCAAAACAAACGTAGAAAAATATTCATAACAATGTCAATTTCATATACTACTACTCTCTTATTGAGTTTGGTGTTGATTTGTGGTTGTTATTGTTGTTGTTTCGTAAGTGCCGCAGTCGTTGAAGATTTATGTAGCAAGACTCGCGATCCAAATTTTTGCAAGACCGTTCTCGGGAGAGATGCTCGTACTAAAGCTGCTGGCATGTTTGATCTTGCTTTGGTCGCGATAGACATGGCTTCCACGGCTGCATCGGATACGAAAGCCAAGATTCACACACTTCATTTGTCCGAGACCAATAGTAAACTGAAATATTATTACCAGGCATGCGAATCGTACTACGAAAATTCTTTGAATGGTCTTAGTATTGCAAGAGACCATCTGAAGAAACAAGATTACGTGGGCGTTAACGAAGCTGCATCCGAAGTCGAGGACGATGCGTCCTATTGTGAAGATGCTTTGAACAATCCGCCATTCAAGTCCGCGTTCACTAAAGAGAATTCCGACCTACAACTGCTTGCCGATATCGTTATAAACGCAGCAAATTTGCTTTGAACCTCCACAACAACTGTGACTATAGTTTAATATTTTTTCTTTTATATTATCTATCACTTTAGAGTTCCATGTTTGTTTGTTTTTTGTTTTTTTTTTCTTCTTCTTGAGGTTTTACCCTTTTTAATTCAACTTTAAGTATTAATTCTCTCTTACCACATTATTTAACGATAAAGATTATTTTGGTCTTTTTTTATGTGTTTATTTAACGATAAAGATTATTTTGCAATATACACACACACACACACACATATATATATATATATATATATATATATATATATATTTGTTAATTCCGGCTGTCTATCATTTTGGTGCGAGCATTGAAATTGCACGTGGTATGTGACCAAAATGAAACTGGTCAACTACTCTACTATTAAAAATCCAGCATTCATTCTTTCATAAAATTACATATCTTTTGATTTCGACCTATACATACAATTAGTGGGAAGCTCAACTCATTTGGGTATATAGGGGTGCAGGGCCGGTCCCATGGTTCCGGAGGAACGAGGCGAAAATTGAAAACGAGGCCCTTTAAATTACCAACCTTGTTATAACTTATCAACTCATTCCTCAACCACAAATTCATAACTTCATTTTCATCATATTTTTTGCAAGATTTTGTTTTTTTTTATGCATAGAGCTCTTTTTATGATTAATTCTATAATATTAAAGAGTCAAATTATTAAATTCAAATATAAAGACCATAAAAGAAAATCTAGGAATAAAAGTGTTTGAGAATTTTGTGTTGAAAAACTCGGTTATTTGCTTACCATTTTGGGCCCTTTAGCTTGGCATTATGTTTTCTTATTCTGAAATGATTTACGCGGCAGGAAAATTACGAATGTCGTTCACAATAGTCTTCTCTTTCTCTCTCTTAAAATCCTCAAATCCACCCAAACCCCAAAATCCCCAAAAGCCCCAAAATTCACAAAAACATCCCCAGAATGAAATAAAAAATAGATTAGCCCATATAAATGAAAAAAAGAAATAAAAAAGAAAGCCACTGTTGTTTTGGATGGGATTCGAACAAGCGACCTCCACTGATCATTATGAATTCTTCAGCCAACTGAGCTGAAGACAATTTTTAGTAAAATATGTACATTTACTTCTATATATTGTTTACACTTTTTCTTAATATATGCCCTTGCTCGCCTTGGGCTTGGGCCAGCCCTGTAAGGGTGGATCCATTCATTCTTGTGTTATTAATAAAACCCCCTTTAGGCTTTAGCTGTTTAATTAAATAACTATTTTACATAATTATGTAAAATATTTATTTAACTATTAAACATAATTAAAAAAGAAAACAAAACGATTTTTATAGTTGTTTTCAGTAGTATGTACTAATTTGTCAATTTGGTAATTCAGCAGCAAAATAAAACCGAGAAAAAATGAAATTAAAAATTGTAGTTGATTTTGGGAATATTAAATTTTTCTTTTTTGATGATTTAAAAAAAATTAAAATGAAAATTTGAAAAATAAATAAATAAGGCATCAAGCAATGGGCAATGTGAAGTAAATAATAGGGGGCAAGTAATCTTGTTTACAAATCCTAATGAATGTTGAAAGAGGGGGCAAGTTACAAAATGGAGCCAACTGATTTTAATCCATGCAAAAGAAATTAAAAAAATCACTGTTCTTGCATGAGCATAAGGTGTTCGGCAAAATGACAAACTCGGTTTGGTTGATGAACCTCTGGTTGGTTTCTTGGGTTGAGATGGCTACTCATACTTCAAATTTGCACAAATTGAATTGATGCAATGCACCAGCTGATAATACACCACTGCAACATACTTGTCTTTTTTCGATAGAGCTGGTGAAGGCAAATTGAAGGTAGCTAATTAACTATTAGGTCTTAAATTGCTTCTATGCTTGCTTCCGTTTTGTTAGGAAAATCTATTCGTCGGTGAAGATCGACTCGACTGATTGAAGAAGAAGAAAATTTAAGCAATATTATAGAAGAGAAAGTTGAATCAGGTACTGCCAACTCTGCAGAATAAGAGGTATAAAATTTTCACTACCTGCAAAAAACTGTATTTGCTTACTCTGCAGGATAAAGAGCAACAGTAGGATGGTCTTCGAATTCCGATATCAACGTTTTTACGTAGAAAAATAATCAAATGCCAAACATAATACAAATACACGTAATACGGCAACGAACAGACATCCACTAACACAACTATTTCTCCATTGATGAACCAAGAACTCTAATCAACAACAGAAGCAAGAAGTCTATTTATTACACATGACTGTATTGGAAGTCTACAAATTTTCTACCAATTCACCCAAAACAAACATTCAGAACAAATCTGATCGAGTTTCGGTTACGCATCAATTCTCATCCCCCAAGCATTTAGAAAAAGTCAATACGCTTCAAATCAAAGGCAAACTTACGCAAATTCATTTCTTCATCAAAATGCAACAACAAATGTATCTTCCTCAGCATTCACGGCCATTTCATAAACCCAAGCAAAATGCAGCATTTCATAAGCCCGTGTTTTACAGTCCAAACAAACTACCGAATTCAGATTCATGTAATAAATACACAAACAACAACCAAAATGCAGCATTACACACTTAAACATGTACATATAGGGGGCAGATTACCAGAGATCAAATAATAACAAACAGATCGGGACAGGGGATTTGTTTCCCTTTCTTCGAGTATCTAATCGCTGGATGCCCTTTCTTCAAACAGGTTACCTCTATCGGAAGCATAGTTTTTGAAGACCCCCCAACAAAATGAACGAAACCTGCGAAAATAGCAAATAAAATTAAAAAAAAAGGCCTAATAACTTTCTTGAATCTGCAAAAAAGAAAAAAAAAATAAATAAATAAATAAATAAATAAAAAAAAAAAAATGAGTGAAAGATTACCTTGACTTTTGTGAGTTATTCTGAACGATCATCTAGCCAAATCCAAATCACGATCCACCTCATCGGGTATCCAAGTCATACTACCGAGAAAACTTCTAAGTGAAAATCTAGAATCTACTTCTGTACGACTCAGTGCATCAACGACCGATGATGGTGCACTTGGAAGAGACAAACTACCTCCACTATTCCCGAAAATAGCAAAATAACTGCCATTGAAATGAGGACTGTCTACGAAGTATCCAGCTATATGTGCATCCAAATAGGACTGCATCACGACAAAAAATGCATAGTTCCCTATTGCACTGCCTAAATACACTTCGGAGTTGTTTGTGTAGAATGCACACTGGTGAAATATGAACCCAGTCTTGTGATCTACAAAATTACGAGACTGACCAAAGAAAACGATTTTTTCATCCGACCTCTCGCTAAAAAACTCAGATTTTTGGAAAAAGGAATGATCATTTCCTAATACTAGGTGATTTCTACCGTAAAATTGACAACTACGGTAAAACTGTTTGAGTCCTAGTGCATGCAACGTCATATTCATTCCTCTAAGTGTGCACCTGAAAAAGACCGTATGATCTCCAGAATTCTCGACAGCAACACCGTCTTTTGCGGTATTTGATATTGTCAGATCTTGAGCAAGAAAATCTTGCCCGCCAACCCCTACAAATTATCGTATACGAGCAAAAAATTCAGTAAAAAATATAACAAAACACATGCAAACTCAATGAAAAAAAAAATATAACATATACTTATATAGTATACGAGCAGAAAATTCAGTAAAAAATATAATAAAACACATGCAAACTCGATGAAAATAAAAATATAACATGTACTTACATAAAGTTGCTGCGTAACGACCCATCAAAGATATTGGCAAAGTGGCATTCGAAGTAATCACGGTCTTCTCGACCCCTTCGCCTAATAGTGTTATGTTGATCTTGTCGGGAGCAATTCTCACCTTCTCGTTGTACTCCCCAGCTCCAATGCGTATGCACACTCTAAACGAGCTATAACTAGGGGATGCTTCGACCGCTTCTGAAATGGTACGGTACTCAGACTTCCCGTCCCCTGAAACCGAGATCGATATTTTGCAGTGATCTTCTTTCTTTTTGGTCCTTCCTGTGATGACCAAGGCAATTAATAGAGCGAGTGCACAAACGAATACGATAGCTCCTATCACCTTGAAAGACCGCATCCAGTTGAAACCACCAACTTGAACCGGGTTTGGTGGAAGGGGGTCTGGACCATCTCGAAGGGGGTCTGGACCATCTCGAAGGGGGTCAGGACCATCTCGAAGGGGGTCAGGGGTCCTAGGGTTCGAAGGCACTGAGCCTACAGACATTGGGGAGCCCGCTCCAACTGCGAGTGAGTCTACACTTCGACCGGAACCGTGCGAACTAGAATTGTATCCGGACGACTCTGAAGCAGCTGGAGCCTCAAGATACTCGATATCTGATGGCTCAACTGCAAATGACGGTCGTGATGATGAAACATGAGAAGCTAAGCTCACTTCGTCCATCTGAAATGAAGAGTAATAACCTTAGTTTAGACCAAGAACAAGGTTTATCACCTTATTAGAACTGTCTAGATCAGCCAAACGAAGAAAAATACGAACAATTTCATCGATTATAAATGCCACTTCAACAAACATATAAATGAAATTTACACGAAATTTAACTCTTTATAGTTTCATTCAGAGAAGTCCAACGAAGAGTAGCAATGAGTGGAAAAAGGTAACACAAAAAACTCATCCCTCGGAAAGTGATATTCAAAATGGAAGCTATTGCTACTAGCGATGCTGAGAAATTATCATGCAAAACCAAATCATGGCAGATTACATTTGACTTAACTCAAAATTATCATGCAAAACCAAATCATGGCAGATTACATTTGACTTAACTCAAAATTATCATGCAAAACCAAATCATGGCAGATTACATTTTCATTCTCTTTGGAGAAGAATTTGAAAAAGTTATTCTTCTGGAATGTGAACATTCAAATTTTCACATTATCAAGCAAGCCTGATTGATGTGACTGATTGATTTTTTTCGTCCCCCCCCCCCAAAAAAAAATATAAACAAACGTTACTTTCATTCTCAAATTCTACCCCCGAAACATATTTCCCAAAACCGAAATGAAAATAAGCCCCAAAACGCTTCAAACATAACTAGAACAGCTTTCTAAACATCGCCTAAAAAAGATGACCGCACCGCAAAATGAGTAGTAGAACAAAAAACGGAGTCGCTTTGTGTAACGTAAAATATTATGGATTTTATATGAAGCTAAATTAATCGTTTTCAACAAGTACAAAACGTCAGACAAGTAACAAATTAACCATATAAATAAACAAATGCAAACCACAATGAATTACCTGGCCTCGAGTACTCTCTTCAAACTTGTCAAAATCCTTTTGGTTTTCCCGCCTAAGATAATATGGTTTGAACACAAAGTTCTGAAATGAAAGAAAATTGAACATAATCAACAATCACTATAAGATATCATTTTACAGAAATACAATCAAAACAACTGATGAAACGAGTCAATCCAAGTTCATTATGATAAACGAAGCAGCTAAAAGCATCAAGAAATCATTATTTTAATACCAAAGCATGTCCTAATGCCAAATATAGCACACTGTAATTGCCTTTCTAGGAAATAAAATCCATTTCTACACCCAATTTCTGCATGTCACCCGTTTGCTATCGGTGTTAATTCGGACAGAATAAGTCACGTGTGGAGCATGTGAGCATGCTGAAATAACCGCCTCGACCCTCCTTTTCCTCTATTTTCGATTTAGCCACAATTTCGATTTGGTCCCACAATTTTATCCTAAAAAATATAAATCCCAACAAATATTAATCCCAATAAAATCCCAACAAATATTAATCCCAATAATCCCCATTTCTTCATCTCGGCTATTAATCCCTTTAATTTTGCTTGATTTATTTATGAAGAATAACAAAGAGTTACAAACTAAAACTCAGCCCTGTTTTCACTGTATAGGTTTTGGTGGAGAAGGTAAATGGTGGAGGAAGAAAAAGACATGATCGAGGATTGGGAGATAGGGTATAGGTCTCATCGATTACGAGGTGCATAGTTTTCGAGCGAAGAATTGTTGGGGTTTGGCGGATTCGGTGAGTCTTACTAAATAACAAATACATTAAAGTTTTTTTTTTGGATGAAATTGAGGAATAAAAGTAAAGTTGGGGCTACTTCAGCATCCTCACATCCAAAACACGCGACTTTTCTGTCCAAACTAACACCCAAATCAACGGCAGACCAAAATCGGAAAAAAAGAAGTGGTTAATTCGAGGACTAAAATCGTGGCCAAAAAAAATAGGGACTCAAATCGATTTTTTGTCCTCTTTACCCACAATAATTAGTCTTGCAACGTTGGTTCTAAATGTCACGTATGTCAAAACGATGTAAAGAAATTTACACGATATTTAATTACTCGTCATGAATTCATGCAGATTTACAACAAAGTGACGAACAATACCAAGGACTAACAAAAAGCATAATAATCCCATGGAAAGTCAATAGTACTCAATTAATGGAATGTTAAGGAACCATATGAAGGAAAATAATAATAATCGAAGCCAGAGGTAGATGCATAAACGGTTCACATTTTAGAAAGATTAAACTTTCCACTTAGCAGACATAGAAAAACTCGAACAGAAGTTCTGGAAAAAAGTAATTACCTGAAATGGTAAGGTTGCGGTTTAAAACACGAGGGTGGCACTCTGTGAAGGTGACATCTTTAACACTTTAATTATCCGTAACTTGAGAATCCCGTTTCTTGAATCCTGAAAAGATAAGAATTTTCATCATCTAGTTTCTTTATTCATCAGAAATCCGCATAGTACGTAATTCTAAATGATATTTTATGGACATGTAAAATATTAGTTACAGATTTCCAATTACCGAAAAAAAATTACGATTAACAAAAAAAAAAAGTTATGATGTAATTTGAACTTTATAAAAGTTGCACGGCTACCATAAACATTGAAATTATTATTTTTAATAATGTATTTGGATTTAGAATCACGAAAGCAAACAACTCTTAGTTTATTTAATAGCAAAATGAACAATGAAGATGATGTATTATTTTCGTTAGACGTGATTCAAACTAAATTACAACATTTTCATTCATAACGTTAAATTTATATTTAATACTTCATCTGTTTATCTGTTTAGTAAAATGTAATCTGAAATATACACATTAGAAAAAACCTCGTCTGCAAAATAGTGACTTTTTCCTTAATGAATTTTCATTAAATTACGTGCTATTTAGTTTTTTTTTAATGTATGAACTAATCTAAAGAAATTTTGTTATCATTTCTATAGTGTGAGGATGTCATGAACGAAAGACTAATGTATGCATGCAACCATTTCCGAGACATTTTTCATTTCGTTTTAGAGAATGGATTTTTTGGGAGAAGAATTTTGAAGAAGTGATGTGACTGATTGATTTTTTTCGTCTCCCCCCAAAATATAAACAAACGTTACTTTCATTCTCAAATTCTACCCCCGAAACATATTTCCCAAAACTGAAATGAAAATAAGCCCCAAAACGCTTCAAAAATAACTAGAACAGCTTTCTAAGCATCGCCTAAAAAAGATAACCGCACCGCAAAATGAGTAGTAGAACAAAAAACGGAGTCGCTTTGTGTAACGCAAAATATTATGGATTTTATATGAAGCTAAATTAATCGTTTTCAACATGTACAAAACGTCAGACAAGTAACAAACCATATAAATAAACAAATGCAAACCACAATAAATTACCTGGCCTCGAGTCTTTTCAAACTTGTCCAAATCCTTTTGCTTTTCCCGCCTAAGATAATATGGTTTAAACACAAAGTTCTGAAATGAAAGAAAATGGAATACGATCGAAACAACTGATGAACATGTCATAAGGCCAATATATCACACCGTAATTGCCTTCCTAGGATAAAATCCATTTCTACACCCAATTTCACTTTACGGATACTGTAATAACTAATGCAAGCTATGTTTCCTAAAATTTGGGGATGTGAAAAACACTGGTGTGACTTTATATACCGTGAGTATAACCATTGGATTCCACATCGTACAGATTAAATTAACAAACACTAATTAAGTTCCATATATTTTAATCATAAATCATGAATTGTTTTAAGTTCAACGAATAGTTGGTCGTTGGCCGCAATAATTAGTCTTGTAACATTAATTCTAAATGCCACTTCTGTCAAACGATATAGATCAATTTACACGACATTTTAAATACTCGTTGTCATTTTTTGAAGTTCAAGAAAACAATAATAGGCATAACAAAAAGCGTCATCCCTTTGAAAGTCAATATTCAAATGGAAGCTTATATCATGCAGCAAAAAAAAAAAATTCAAGGCCAAAGGTAGCTGCCAAATGGTGCACATTTAAAAAAATTAAACTTTCCACATAACAGACATAGCAAAACTTGAAAAGGGAAAAATAAAGAAAACAGTAAATTATATATATATATATATATATATATATATATATATATATATATATATATATATATATATATAATTTTCATTCAGAGAAGTCCGATGAACAGTAGCATATCATAATGCAAAACTGACAAAACTGAGATATTATAATGCAAAAACAAATCATGGCAAATTACATTTGACGAGTAAGAGTACAAGTTCAAATTATTAAACTTAACGGGTTGTCATTTACTATCATGGCTAGAAATTCTGTAAATGATAAAATTAAATTTTCACGGAGGTGAGAGAGTTTGAATAAATCAAAACATCATAATAATAAGCCTTGAGCAGGGGAGAGTACCAAGCATGTGTTGATCATAGTGTATAAAGTTAAAGATAATTACACTTTTGGCCCCAATATTATACACGAATATCGATTTCAGTCCTTATATTTGTTTGGCCACGATTTTAGTCCTCAAACTAACCACATTTTTACAATTTTAGTCCGCTGTTTGCTATCGGTGTTAATTCGGACGGAAAAAGTCACACGTGGAGCAGGTGAGCATGCTGAAATAACCGCCTCGACCCCTCCTTTTTCCTCTACTTTCGATTTAGCCACAATTTCACTTTAGTCCTACAATTTTATCCTAAATAATATAAATCCCAACAAATATTAATCCCAAATAAAATCGCCATTTCTTCATCTCAGATATTAATGCCTTTAATTTTGGTCGATTTCTTTATGAAGAATAGCAAAGAGTTACAAACTAAAACTCAGCCCTGTTTTTACTTTATAGGTTTTGGTGGAGAAGGAAAATGGGGGAGGAAGAAAAAGACGTGATCGAGGATTGGGAGATAGAGTATAGGCCTCATCGATATTCCTACGACGTGCGTAGTTTTCGAGCTAAGAATTGTTGCGGTTTGGTTAAAGTTTTTTTAGGATGAAATTGAGGAATAAAGTAAAGTTGGGGCTAAATGGAAAATGCAGGTAAGAAGGGGGTACTTCTGCATCCTCACATGAAAAAAACACGTGATTTTTCTGACCAAACTAACACCCAAATCAAACGGCAGATCGAAATTGAAAAAAAAGGTGGCCAATTCGAGGACGAAAATCGAGGCAAAAAAAATATATATGCTCAAATGGATTTTCGTGTATAATATAGGGACCAAAAGTGTAAATTATCCCTCTTTAGCCACAATAATTAGCCTTGTAACATTGGTTCTAAATGTCCCTCTTTAGCCCACAAGAACGATATTTTAGTAATAACTCGCAAATTGTTTCAAAGCTAAGCAACTACCTTGGTCGTCGGCCACTATAATTGGCCTTGTAACATTGATTCTAAATGCCAATTGTGTCAAAATGATATAAATCAATTTACACGACATTGTACTCTTTATGAGTTCGAAGTGCAACAAATAATATGAAGGAATGATAGACCTAATAAAAAGCATCATCATTTTGAGTGTCAAGGGCAGACGCAATTACCTGAATTAAGAACAGTCTGCTCGAGAATCCCCGATCCCGTTTCTTGAATGGCGAGAAACTAGAGTTTTCTGTTGACAGAACAACCTGATGAAAAAACATAGAAATGAAATTTACACGACATTGAAATCATTATAATTTCATTCAGAGAAGTCCAACGAACAGAAGCTAGAGTGGAAAAAAAAAAGAAAAAAATCATCCCCTGGAAAGTGAATATTCAAATTGGAGCGAAACTGAGAAAATACGATTTAAAAAACTCCTGGCATATTACTTTTCACTAGTACGAATACATGTTCCCAAAATTAAATTAACTCGAAGCATGTATTTCTATGCTACAGATTCACTGTCAAAAAGCACTCTAATTAAGAGCAAATGTGTTGCACGAAGAATGTAAAATCCCGTGCGAATTTTTTATGGTAATATGTTCGGTTATAGCCTAAAACCGAATTCAACCGTCCCAAGTGTGTATATATTCAGAAAAAAGATCGGAGCTTATGGTACAAGTGTGTATATATTCAGTAACACCCCTAACTGCATTAACATTTTTTTTTCTTTCTTTCTTCCTATTAATGAGATTTTTTCCTCCATTACACCATTTTAGATAAAGACTACAGCAATTTAAACAAAAAAATATATATATATATTTTAATAAATAAAAAATTACCTATCTGAACTTCAAACAGCTCAATTGATCAAATTTAGGAAGGAAATAACTGAAAACCCACCCTCTTTAATCTATACCTAGAACTCCATTCAAACCTAAAATTTCTATGGTGTGGGGGAAATACAAATACAAATACTCCATATCCAATAAACTTAAACCCTAAAATTTCAATAATTTGGGGGAAATGCAAATACTCCATATCCGATGAACTCAAAACCTAAAATTCCAACTTGTTTTTTTTGGGGGAAGAATTACGCAGCTCAAAACCTAATATTTCAAAAAAATTGGGGGAAATACAAATACTCCATATCCGATTAACTCAAAACCTAAAATTTCAAATAGTTTAATCCGGGGGAAGAATTACGCAGCTCAAAACCTAAGATTTCAAAAAAAAATTGGGGGAAGAAACTCCGTAATATAATCAGTAACTATTGGTTTGCCTCTGGTTTATTCTATTGGCCATAATAATAAAAAAAAAAAAGTATTTTTGTATAATTGATAAACTAATCCCACCAAGTCTATTTATACTAATTAATTATTAATTAAACAATAAAAATGACTATTATATATTACTTAATTATATATTATAAACATGGAATGGAAGTCATTATTTTATATTACCCATTCCAAATCATATCTAAACTATTTTTTTTCAAGTTATTACCGCCGTGAATTCGAGTTACAGAAAATCATTTAATCGAGCTATTTTGTTTTTACTCCCATTGCTACAGTTACTGAAGCTTATAAAAATCACCTCTACCAATTTAAAACATCACGCCATGCAATTTTAATTTTTTATCCAGGAACAGTTAATAAAATAAAAACATGAAGAAGAAGAAGACGAAGACTTACGAGTTAGCAGAAATGGCGGCGAAGCTGGCCAGAGAAGGAGAAGCTGGAGGATTAAAAACAATAATTAATATTTTTTTTATTTTTTTTTTTGAAAACAATAAGTATTAGTGAATTATTTGTTGTTCAAATATATTTATGTTGAGAGAAACTGCTATGGTGAGTGCACATGCATAAAATGGTGTGTGCAACTTCAGTCTCGTTGATTCTAAATGCCACTTCAGTGAACATAGAAACGAAATTTACACGACATTATAATTTCATTCAGAGAAGTCCGACGAATAGTATAGCAAGGAGTGGAAAGTAGATATTAAAAAATGGACCTATTGCTACTGACGAAACTGAGAAATTTCATGCAAAAACAAATCATAGCAGATTACATTTAGGTGTATCTATTTGACACTTACGCATGATCCAAGATTATAATAATAACTCCCAGATTGTTGTTACAAAGCTGAAAAACTATGTTTTTAGCCAGGTATAATTACACTTTTTGCACCAATATTATACAAGAAAATCGATTTCAGTCCTTATATTTGTTTGGCCACAATTTTAGTGCTCAACTAACCACTGTTTTTACAATTTTAGTCTGCCGTTTCATATCAGTGTTAATTCCGACGGAATAAGTCATGTGTGGAGCATGTGAGCATGCTGAAATAACTGCCTCGACTCTCCTTTTCCCTCTATTTTCGATTTAGCCCCAATTTCACTCTAGTCCTACAATTTTATCCTTAAAAATATAAATCCCAACAAATATTAATCCCAAAATAAAATCCCCATTTCTTCATCTCGGCTATTAATGCCTTTAATTTTGGTTGATTTCTTTATGAAGAATAGCAAAGAGTTACAAACTAAAACTCAGCCCTGTTTTTACTTTATAGGTTTTGGTGGAGAAGGAAAAGACGTGATCGAGGATTGGGAGATAGGGTATAGGTCTCATCGATATTCCTACGAGGTACATAGTTTTCGAGCGAAGATTTGTTGGGGATTGGCGGATTCGGTGAGTGTTACTAAATAATAAATAAATTAAAGTTTTTTTAGGATGAAATTGAGGAATGAAGTAAAGTTGGGCTAAATGGAAAATGAAGGTAAGAAGGGGGTACTTCAGCATCCTCACGTGAAAAAACACGTGATTTTTTCTGTCCAAACTAACACCCAAATCAAACCGCAGATCGAAATTGAATAAAAGGTGGTCTACTCGAGGACTAAAATCGAGGCAAAAAAATATAGTGACTCAAATGGATTTTCATGTATAATACAGGGACCAAAAGTGTAATTATCCCTCTTTAGCCACAATAATTAATCTTGTAACATTGGTTCTAAATGCCACTTATGTCAAAATGATATAAATCAATTTACACGACATTTTACTCGTTACGAGTTCGAAGTTCAACAAATAATATTACGGAGTGATAAACCTAACAAAAAGCATCATCCCTTTGAAAGTCAAGGGCAGACGTAATTACCTGAAGTAAGAACAGTACTGTGCTTGAGAATACCCGATCCCGTTTCTTGAATGCTGAGAAAGTAGAGTTTTCTGTTGAGAGAACAACCTGACGAAAAAAACTGCTATGGTCAGCGCGCACATGCGTAAAATGGTGTGTCCAACTTCAATCTCACTGATTCTAAATGCCACTTCAGTGAGCATATAAATGAAATTTACACGACACTATAATTTCATTCATAGAAGTCCGACGAACAGTAGCTAGAGTGAAGAGAACTAACAAAAATCCTGGCATATATAAATTTGACTAGTAAGAATACAAGTTCCCAAAATTAAAATTAACTCGATCTAAATACAGATTTAGTGCTTTGTACCACCAATCCATCTCCTAAGATATTACCAAGTCTTTCATGTTTAATTTAGTGCTAATTCAGTTTTGTTATGTACTGGAACAAGATTTAAACGGATTAGTTTGGCACTCTTCCTAATTATGTATTATGTATATATATTATACGTTCTTGTGCACCATCTCCTGCTTCATTTGTAGGTCGAAGCATGTATTTTCTATGCTACAAGTTCACTGTCAAAAAGGACTCGTCTATATAATTAAGAGCAAATGTGTTGCACGGAGAATATAAAATCCCATGCGAAATTTTATGGAAATATGTTCGGTTATAGCCTATAACAGAATTCAACCGTCCCAACCTGATGATGCGGATTACGTCTTACCTTCTTATAGAGAAGGGAGAACCGGGCTGACTTTCCGAAACCAACGGCTACGCTAGGTAGCAGTTCCTTCGAGCTCCTCGTAGCAGTAGGAGGAGATATTCCCACGACTTTTAGAGGGACTTTTGGCACCTCGATCGATATCCTATCGCACAGGTAATAAACGAAACCGAGACTGCGAAGAGAGGAAAGAATCATAAGCTTTTCTTTAAAGGCATTGCCACAAAAAAGATCGGTACTTACGGTATAAGTGTGTATATATTCAGAAACACCCCTAACTGCAATAACATGTTTTTTTTTTCTTTCTTCATATTAATGAATTTTTTTTCTCCATTACACCATTCTAGATAAAAAGAATTATGAAAGACAGAAATAATATTAAATAAATAAATAAATAAATAAATAAATAAAAAATTACCTGGGCCTAGGTGAAGACATATCTGAACTTCAAACAGCTCAAATGATCAAATTTAGGAAGGAAATAACTGAAAACCCACCCTCTTTAATCTATACCTACAACTCCATTCAAACCTAAAATTTCTATGGTGTATGGGAAATACAAATACTCCATATCCAATAAACTTAAACCCTAAAATTTCAATAATTTGGGGGAAATACAAATACTCCATATCCGATGAACTCAAAACCTAAAATTTCAAATAGTATAATTTGGGGGAAGAATTACGCAGCTCAAAACCTAAATTTTCAAAAAAAATTGGGGGAAGAAACTCCGTAATATAATAATCTATTGGGGGAAGAAACTCCATTAATGGTTTGCTCTGGTTTATTCTATTGCCCCTAATAATAATAAAAAAAATGTATTTTTGTATAATTGATAAACTAATCCCACCAAGTCTATTTATACTAATTAATTATTAATTAAACAAATAAAAATGACTGTTATATATTAATTAATTAATTAAATATTATAAACATGGAATGGAAGTCATTATTTCATATTACCCATTCCAAATCATTTACCGCCGTGAATTCGAGTAACAGAAAATAATTTAATCGAGCTATTTTGTTTTTACTACCATTGCTACAGTAACTGAAGCTTATAAAAATCACCTCTACCTAATTAAAACACTACGCCATGCAAAAAATTATACAGTTAAGTAAAATATAAACGTGAAGAAGAAGACGAAGACTTACAACTTACCAACAATGGCGGCGAAGCTGGCCGGAGAAGAAGGATTAAAAATAATAATTAATATTTGCTTTTTTTTTTAATTTTTGAAAACAATAATTATTTTGTTGTTCAAAATTATTTGCTTTCTTCTTTGCTTGTGTGTGTGTGTGTGTGTGTGTGTGTGTATTTGACCAAAAGAAAGAAAGCTTCAGTCAAAATTTTCAGGTGTTTTATATGTAGAATTGTAAAAGATGATGCATTGATGTTCATGCTATTGTTAGTAGCATTTTGTTTGCAAGTACAGTTCATTACTTGCATTTTTCGTTTATGATCGAATAAGAATATTTGTGGTCCTACCACAATTTATTCGTTTAATTTTTTTATTTTTCATTTTTTTAATTCAAATTCTATTTTATTTAGTGGTCTGATTTCAATTTTTTTGGGTTTCATGAAATTGAGGTGACTTAAATTGTAATTTCTTACTTATGTAAATTAATGTAATATTCAACATTCAAATGAATGCGATAAGATTAATGATTAATCTCACTTTGCATCATTGAAATATAGTCTTTTGGCATTTTGCACCATCAAAACCCAATTAACTTATTCATAATAATGCACCATGAATTTAATATATAAAATTTAACGAGGGAAAATTTAGTTTTTATTGATTTTTTTTTTTTCCATGGTGCAAAATAACAAATTAAATACTATTTTCTTACCCAACATAATTTCGAGTATACAAAATCCGAGAAAACAAAAATCACAACGAATTACTAAAAACACTATATTTTCTTTAAAAAAATTCTAAATAAATTATTCGATAGATGACTTTTTTATTGTAACTGGTAAAAATATTTGGTAGAAATTATTAGAAGAAAATATTATTTTGCAAGTAACTTGATACCTAAATAGGTGAACAATATTTTTTTTATTTTTTTTTTATTTTTTGTAAAATATTTTTTGTGTGAAAAAATCAAAAAATATATGATTAATCGCATGTATGTATGACTTTATGTAAAGTACTATTTCTACTGCAACATTTTTATTTTATTTTAAGGTGACATTGTTGAATTTGAGGTTACTTTAAAATTGCACCCCTTTATGTAACAAATTAACTGAAACTTTACACATAGAAAGGAATAGAGAAATGACACTTATATAACATTTATAAAATTCAAAAAGAAAGTAAATGAAGTCAAACTTTATAAGAAGTATAAAGTCGATTTATTTGTCAAACAATTAACTAGATTACGGTTGGAGCGGTTCAATCGATTTCAACTTTTTTTTTTCTTTTTTCTTTTTCGAATTACTTATAAACATTTCAAAATTGTTATCTAAATTCACAAGAACTTAGAATCAACTGTTTTTAACAAATTTAGAGGGTGTTTGACTAAGCTTATAAATTATTAAAAAAGGTTAATACGTTATTTAAGAGAGCTTATAAGCTTATAAAGTGTTTGATAATGTTTTTTTTTTCTTTTTAAATTCAAAAAATCTCGATGGACTCACCTATCTTAATTAGGTTCCTTCGATGCTACACCCGGTGTTTTTCACCGGGTGTAGCATCGAACAAATCTCTTAATTAATATTCTTTGTTCGATAGTATGAGGAATAAATACGAAATCTCTGTATGTGTATATCCTATATTTTCAAGAATCTTTGCTCTCAAAAATATAATCCGTGTGAATCTCTTCAAACCATAATTTTAAACCTTGTTCTTTGGTCTTGAAAAAAGATAAAAATTAAGTGACTGGTATATTAATCATTTGATGGTGTTTTTTATGACCTTTCTTTTAATTGGTCATAAGAGGCCTATTTAATTCGACTATAAGAGGGCCTATTTAATTATCTACAAAATTAAGCCGTTGTACAAAAACTCGAGACCCTAGTCGAAAACGCGACACCTTATTTGAATTGTGCAATCTCAAAAACCCGAGCGGACATTGTGGTGCAATTCAGTTTCCATCAACCGAAACGCTCCGTCGCAAGTTCTTTTAATCGACTGAATTGCACTACAATGTCCACTCAATGTATTTTCACAAACCCCCGACGGAATATTCCATATCCGTATTTTTCCGTCAACACATCCAGTGGCTATATGTAACGCATGCTCTTTATATGTTAAATGCCAAACTTAAATAATCCCCTTTTAGTGAATTTAAAAAAATAAATCAATAAAAATAAAATAAAGTAATAAACTAATATATTTAAAATACGATAATCGATATTCATGCATGCATCTTATTTAATAATTAACTAGCATTTTTTTCCCCGTGCGATGCACGGGATATTATTTCAAGAGTAAAAAAAAATCAATTTAATACATAATAAGAAAATATAGTACACGCACATAGTAAAATTTAATAATGTAATATTTTTCATATTTTACATAACATTAGTTTGTTTAAATTTTACATATTAAAATTTATAATCCAAATATATAGATTTGTGTAGCAAGACTCGCGATCCAAATTTTTGCAAGACCGTTCTCGGGAGAGATACTCGTACTAAAGCCGCCGGCATGTTTGATCTTACTTTGGTCGCGATAGACTTGGCTTCCACGTCTGCATCGGGTACGTAAGCCAAGATTCACACGCTCCGTTTATCCGAGACCAATAGTAGACTGAAATATTATTACGAGGCATGCGAATCGTACTACGAAAATTCTTTGGATGGTCTTAGTATTGCAAGAGACCATCTGAAGAAACAAGTATATATATATATATATATATATATATATATATATATATATATATATATATATATATATATATATATATATATATATTTAATTATGTGTTATATGTACAATAATTTAATCTTAAGGGGTCCCTACTAACCCAACCAATACATCCCCCAACAATTTAATCGGGAGTCTGAACACCGTCTTTGTCAATTCTCCAAATGTCTTGAGATTCAAGACAATGCTTCATTAGATTACTCCACGAATTTTTCTCCATTGAAACGAGGTATAAGTGAAGCAATGTTGGTGGACATTTTTTTAAGATGGATCTGATGCCAATTTGTTGGCACCAGGATGAGATAAAATGATTAATCCCCAATTTGGATTTTAGTGATTTTGTGAATACTTGAAAAAATAATATTTTTTAGTAGAGAAAGTAAAAGACTAGTGTTTTGTAGATAGAAAAATTACTTCTCTTTTTTTTTTTTTTTTTTTGTTTTTTTTTTTTTTTTTTTTGCCTTGCTTACAATTATCTCTAGCACTCCATATTTATAGTGAG